ATGTGGTATTGTGCAAACTTAACAGTGTCAGGCCTTATCGTTTTTAGGAGTTAGACCCTCCAATTCCTTTGTCCCTTATATTGTCATGAACTTTCATAAGAGGATTCTGACAGAATCCGTTGCAGACATAAGACAAATGGTAGCTAGGTTTTAGACTAGTGCTTGTGCCTTAACCGCGTAGCCTGCCTTTCACCCACAGCTAGGGTAACTTTGAATCCCCACGTTCTTCGAATGACCGGGTGAACTAGTTCTGTGGTTCTTTTCTCTTCTAAACAAACAAACAGCAACATCTTTGGTCTGACTTATTTAAATCTGTTAGTAAAGAGAACCTGTTGATGATATGTATTCATTTATCCATCAGTTCTAAATCACTATTTAAATGTATCATTTTATTTCTTCATTTGTAATACTTTTATACTGCTATATATAATAAAATTCCTAATCCATTTACATATAAATATTAACATTACATTTAAAATACAATATTAAAACAATTCCACTTACTATAATAGTATAGAGCAATACAAGGATGATTTAAGAGGAAGCGGCATTCTTAATTTAATTACAAGCCAAGGAGAGACTGGGTGGACAAGTTGGTGGATGCTTTTGAAACAGGCCACATTTTCTATCTCCCAGACTACCTGGGGAAGGGTTTTCCAAAAGGTGGGCACCACTGCTCAGAAGGCATGGCATCAAGGAATTAAGTGGCAATATGTGGTTTTGGAATGGCCAACAAGGCCTCCTTGGGCAATCTTAAAGATGAATAAGGGAGGGAGGCAGCTTGATGTTTTTGCACCACGTTGTCAGGGCTGACTTAGCACTGGGCATGGCTTTGCAGACAGCCTGTGGAATTCTTCTAACGCAGATGCTGCATGAGTAGAGCTGGGTGTCCCTGTGAGCTGACTTGTGAGCTGCAGCTTCCAGACCAGACAGAAGGGCAGTCTCATCTAGTGGGCAGTCATATGGTTAGCAGTGCAGGGGTCACTGTGGCTAGGCTATCCCTATCCTTGTAGGGCACAGTTAGTATATGGGTACCCTGGACACCAAAGTCACCTGGGTCCCCCGTGACAGAGATGGATTAGAACCATGAATCATGGCCATGTCCTACCTAGGGGAGGATTCCTCAGATGAAGAAAGCGAGTGCAGTGGGCTTCAGACACAGGGGTGGTGGCTGCAGATAACTGCCCTCCTTTAGGGAAGGAGCTAGGACCCTCTTGGGCAATCTCTGGGGTTCCCCAACAGCAGGAGTTGGAGGCAGAGGGAAGTCGCCCCTTAGAAAGAGGAAGGCGCGCACAGCCTCCACAAAAGTCCAAACAGCCTGAAAGGGGAGTTTCTGTGAAACAGCACACTGGCTTAATTAGTCAGCTGTGCTGAGTTACACACAGCTATAAATTAGTTCAGACAGAGCTGCTCTTTGTTGCAAACAAGTGTCATTATCTGTGTTCTCTAACTTCGTTAAAACTAATCAGTCTCTAGATTTCTGGCCTGTTTACTGCACCTGACTTGAAACTTCAGATGCATGCACACCATATGGCCTTGGCTTTTGGACTGAAGTGATTCTTAAGAAGGTAACAGAGATTGGGCATTAGTGGGTGCAGGGCAGGACAACCACATACCTGTTTCTTCAGAGGAAGTGCCGCACCAGCTAGAACAGGTAAAGAGCCCAGTTCCCAAACCTGGGAACTGCCAACCGATACAGTCTCTGTCTTACAAGTAGAAGGATTCTGCTTGTTTGCGTTCATTCAAATAGTTGAGAATGTCAGAGAGAAATATTTTATAGACTTATTTTATATTGTTAATTCGTTTTATATTTTTAGTGTATTATATTTTAATTGATGTTTTGTGAGCTGCCCCGAGGCTTCGGCGAATGGGGCGGCATAGAAATTTTCTAAATAAATAAATAAACAGAGGTGGGAGTCATCAGCGTATTGATGATGATCCTCAATGGCTGCATATAGATCTAAATAATACTGGGGACAAGACAGTGACCCATGACACTGTCATTTAATGCTGTTCTCTGGAACAGGCACAGCAAACCACTGTAGAACGGTGTTTCCAACTCCCAACTCACATAAGTGGTCAAGGAGATTACCATGGTCAATGGTCTCATAGAGCCACTGAGAAAGCAAGAAGAAACAGTATTACTTTTCCCTTTCCTTCTCCCTAAGAAGGTCATCTATCAGAGTGAGCACAGCTGTCGCTGTCCCAAACCTGGGCCTGAATCCAAACTGGAATGGATCCAGGAAATGGTTTCATTCAAGAGCCCCCACAGCAGAGACACCACCCCTCTCTTAATTGCCTTCCTCAAAAATGGGGAGGAAATAGCCTAAATAAGACACAGAGGGAAAGAGTTGAGAGAGCATGTGGTGAATCATGCAGCTCGTGTAATTGCCTTGTTCACATTCTCAGGCTCCAAAAGTTCCATACTGTCATCACAGTGCGCCTCTGAGGGTTCCAGTATTAGGTTCACTGTGTTAGATGAAACAGTGCCTGAAACACACAGAAAAGCCCGATTGCGTGCTTATTCAAAGATGTGATGGTGGTGACAGTCTTCTTTGCTGTCCTCACCATCGCGCAATTCTATACTCTTACACATGCTCCATTCCCTCCTTGACAGGTCTTGCACCACTTACATGCCAGCCATTTCTAATTTCTAATCTGTTTCCTAATCTGGAACTCCCCAGCTCTCTGTGCTCTTGGATGCCAAAAGGGGCACTCAGGACCAAATGGGACAGTAGGTTGTCACATGACTCTGCCCCTCAGTGTGACAAGCGCTTTCACAAAACAACTGGCTCTGGCTACAGAAAAATCCTTCAGAGCATTGAGGAATCCCTCATAGCACAAAGCTTTGTTGTCTAATTCACTCTTGCTCTAATTGCTTCTGCTGAGGTACCTTCATTTTTCTTTACTGCTGTCTCAAACCTTTAAATTAAATGAAGGATTCCCACTAAACATGCAGACTTGGAAGGCTGATGCTTCGGGGAAAAGCACTATTTATATAAAAGATCCATACAGCTATCAATTGTAAACGTTTTAGGTTAGCCCCACCCACTCATCTAGAATTTTCTTATGCTTCAATGTAGTATCTAACGGAAGCATAGCTAGAAGCATCTATTGATATATTTTAGAGAGGTTTGTTTTGATATACAATGGAATGAAGGAAGGTACTTAGCGTTTGCCCATTCAGTGCACTTTTTGAAACAGATGGAGCTTGCTGGAAAAGGATTCAGTGTCAAAATGCAAATCGTGCTCCCTTGTCATTTCACATTTATCTCATTTGTAGGTTTGTTAAGATATTGCACAACATGATTATATGGGTGCCAAGGTATGGCACACTGAGGAAATGTATCCTCAGGACAGCCATCTGACTTAGCTGGCAAAATAAAGTCATTGAATGAGTGTCATATTCTCCATGCGATTACCACAAATTACCACAATTTCAGTCTTTCTTCGTTAATCTAGCTGGTGGCTTGGTAATCAGTGCAAGGTCATGATGCTGGTTTTAAAAGACTTAAAGCTCAATTTTAAGCATATTCACTTGGAATTAAGGCCTGCTCTATTCAGTAAGGTACAGATGGGGAATGTGTGGCCTAAAAGGCACATGCAGATTGTGGCCTGGTTTCATGCAGACTTTGACCTACTTCACCAATTCTGACCACTTTGCAGAGTGTGCCCACTTCAGTTCTGCACTTACCAAAATTTTGCCCCAGCCCCAGCCACTTCTGGAATGTACAACACAATAAGTTTCAAGCAAGGTAACATGGGCCCTCATCGGAAAAAAAATCCATCTCTCTACCTGCCTTACTTGCAGGTCAATGTGCTTAATATATCAATCTGTTTTGGACACTAGAAGTTGTAGTATAGAGGCAATCTTTAGTTTTTTCTGCAAGAGTAAGCCTTTAAAAAAGAAGAGAAAGATGCATTGCTTTCATGTGGCAACAGATTCTTTTATTCTCTTTCAAACGTGAAGACTGGGTTTAGCATAGGATCAATATTTTTGAAAAAGTCATCGATTACTACTTTGAAGATGTATATTTTGTTTCATAGTGCTTTCATAAGGCTAAAGGTAATCATATTTTGCAACCACATGAGAAACATCTCAAATAAAATTTTCATATGTCATGTTTCTCAAAGAATCATATTCTGCCTGTAGAATGAATTGTTTAAAATTTGCTATGAAATTGACAGTATGCTTCCTGGTATATTATTTTTCTTTCAGCAAGTCTAATAGTTGGTTAAACTTGTGAACGATTGTTTGCATGGAGCAAACAGTCACATTGTGAACACTTAAGCACCTTTCATTGACATTTGAAGTTACTGTAGAAGCGTAGGGAGAGAACTGGAGGTGAAGAACTGGAACAGTGTGCCGGAATGCTGACATAGTCATCCCATGGGTTATGAAAGGCCTAATTAAAAGCCTATTTAAATTGCCTCATTGCTCTGTTTTCCAACCACTCCACTGGACAGCTTATAATTCAGAAATATGTACCTGTTTCCCCAATGTTGTATGCATAACATCCTAACATTTCCTCTTGAGCTGGGGTTCTTTTGTGGAGTTCCTACATTAAATTGAACAGCCGCAGCAATCAGAGAGTATGTTTCACATATTATAAGGTCCTAGCTAACCTTATAATAACTCCACCTTGCAGAGCTATTGCCAGTCAAATAGCCCTGTATTTTCTAAGAAAAATGTTATGCACATTACAGTTCTTAAGTTACAAAAAGGGTTCAGGAAATATTCTGCTCATATTGACCCTGACAGAAATTATTCTAAGATGAATTCCTGCCCTCAGAGGTAATGAAAGGTATTCTTTTTCTAAGAATCTACACTTGTGGATTTTTCATGCAGACCTGCATGCATGTAGTACGTACATATATTCTAATTGTATCCATGTCATTTTGAAAGTTAAGATAATGAATAAAGCCGAAAAATCTGTTTTATGCAATCAGTAATATTATATTGATGGTAGATTTAGCTCTTGGTTTTTCCTCCATTCTAGGGTCCTCCAGGGGTGCCAGGATTTCAAGATTTCTTTAAAGGGCCATATTTCCAGGTATGAACATTTAACTCACAGAATGTCCTATCCTTGACAGCCCTGCTCAGTTCTTGTAAACTCGAGATTGGAACTTCCTCTATGGAATCAATCCATCTCTTGGTTGGTCTTCCATTGTTCTGCCTTCAACTTTCTCTAGCCTGACTGTCTTTTCCAGTAGGTCTTGCCTTTTCACGATGTGCTATAACTACAGCAGCCTCAGTCTTGTCATTTTTGTGTCCAAGGAAGGTTTTGGCTTGATTTAGCTCCTTGTTTTACTTTCTATAAGTCCAGAGTAGTTACAAAGCTCTCCTAGATAAATTGAAATTTCTTCCAGACTACCGAACTGCCACCCCAGTCAGACAATCTGTAAGAATACCTTTAAATTTCCAAGTCTAGAACTTTGGTGAGAAACATGGTCCAATCTGAAAGTGTCATCATCCCAAGTCGGAACAGCAGGTTAAAGCAGCCCCAGGGTTTGTTCTGTACATCTGTATCTTGCCCTCTCTTGCAAATAAAGCTTAGTCAACTAGTTTACTTCAGCTAGCCAAGAGCCTTCCCGAATTCCCTTCCTTTCATTCCCCAGAGCCAAACTATTGATCCCTTTGTTTCCCCCAATCTAGGAGAGTCCACATGAAATCTGTGAACATTTATGGTAAAGCAAAGCTGTGATGATCCTTGGTGATCTTTGTTATTGGGCCAGTTTCTCCTATTTTCTTAGAACACAGCTTTGTTCCAAGCTGCATCTCCATGAAAGATTCCTCTGTTTCAGGGTTCACAGAATGCATGTGTACACATATGAATTTGCCTGTGTGTGATCAAAGACATTCAGAACAAATACTGCAGAATTTTCTATTCATTGTTACTGTGCCATTGATTTTAGAAATCTTGCTCCTTGCACTTTCAGTGATTTGCAGGGCAGGTTTCTGGCTATATTTCCTAATTCCTTTTCCATGAAAAATTAATTGTATTGAGAGATTTTCTCTTTTGCTACATATAGTTTGCCTCTTGTCATCATTATTGGTTAGTTGACATCAGCTTCAGTAACTTCCTAATTCCGCATTATTTAAGATTAACATTGTGGCAGGTGACGTGAACCACAGTCGAGCTCCTCAGGGTTTGATATGCATCTGTCTGTAAGATTCATGTTTCTCATATTATGAGACTCCACAAATTCCTAAGTCATATCATGTTTCCCAATTAATATCTCCTGGCAAAACGTGGGACAGCTGTTCTGCCCTCAAGAAATTAATCATCTTTTAAATCCTCTTACAGTGCACCAACGCACTCCTCCTTTCAGCTGTCTAGTGCAAAGCATTTAATGACTTATTCTCCAGCAAGCAACTTGCCAGAAAATGAGTGCTAAGTTTAGTATTAGGATGATGGAAGATGACTTACCAATCTAAACTTCAGATTTAAATACTTAGACTCTCTGGAACCAGACTTTCAGCTCAGATCCAGAGATGGATGAATTGAGCTCAAAACTAGATATTATGGTAAGTTTGTTTAGGAGAACTGTTTGTACTTTCTGGATATTGAGGAACCATTAAAATAATTATTCATTGTTTATATACTTGACATAAATGCCACCATTCTTCCACTATTACACTGAATGGTTAAGGAGTATCATTCCACCTCAGAAATTTTTAGTGCCTTTATTTACACTACCTAATATGTGCAAAATATATTTATAAAGCTGTGTGGCAAAAGGCATTCTGTGAAAGTCAAATGTATTCATATTTTTTGTGATACACAGGATTCATCATTTGATTATCAAGTCCATTTCCTTTAGTTTAGGAAGCTTTCCAAGATTCAATGTTACACTTGTAGTTAGCAGGCTAAGCCATCTTCTGATACAGCTTCTTTTTATTCCATGGCTTCATGAGTTCTTCTTTGCTGGAGTTTGGTGAACATATTCTCATATCCAGTGCTTTTTTTGTAAGAAAAAAGGTGCTGGAACTCATGAAATTATTTATCTTTCGCATGTAGTCAATCACTGTACACACCCACACACATCAGTTGTGTAACAAAACATAACGGTTGCCGCCCGCAGTAAGCACTCAGCGCGCGACCACACGACCAATCACAAGCCGAGCACCATCACAACCAGTGTGGACAAAGCACGCATGCATCGGATTCGACACACAAGCAGCCCGCAGGCACTGTTTTAATGATTTTGCCACCGACCTGCTACGCTCGACAGGGCAATCCAAATCCACATGGACCAAACATCAAATTTTCAAAAGTTACTTTTAAAACTTGGAAAATCTGTCGAAAAAAGGTGCCGTAACTCCGTTCTGGTGTGCTCTATGACAAAAAAAAAGCACTGTTCATATCCCGTATTTTGAAGCTGAATGTATCCTTAGCCACATTAAAGGAGATTGGAAAGGTTCCCACCTATTTTTCAAGACATAAAAATCTCTAGGGCTTGGCAATACATGTTTGTTCCATACTGACCTCTGGAGCTAATGCTTTTGTTGTTCTTTTCATGAAAGCACTACCATTATATCAGACAGTCGGAATAGATCACATTCATAAGTACTGGCCAAGAACCCTGTAACAGAAGAGTGAGGAAAGGGAAAGATTGACAGTTGAGCAAAAAAGGAATGGTGGGCAGAGCTAGTGGGCCAAAGGTTTCAGAAGGACAGGGACGGTTAGAAAGAAGTCAGGTAAGGACTGGGTGGAATCAGTATGGGGAGAAATAGTGAAAGGAATTAAGGGCTTGAGTTAGTCCCAAGAAATATCTGAGACAGGGTGTGAATGAGAACAAAGAGAAATTAGAAAAGGCAGTAGTGTTTAGGATATTATCAAAATTATTGGATGTCCTCAGAAAATACCCATCTATCCTTGCCTGTCCTGATCTGGGTGGAGTTGAAAACTGGTATATCTCACCCCACAGGTTAAGCATATAAAGCACAGAACCTCCTGCTCTTTGTGACCAAGGAGGTGGCAGCAAGGGAAAAGTCTAGAGGGCCAGGGCCTTGTACAGGGCTAATATATGATTTGCACCGTAACACATATGAAAGGATTTCCTGAAGTTTATTTCATAGAAGTGAGAATGAAAAGTACTTTCCAAATTAAACTGCCTTGCATTGTGTGGCCAATTTACCCCACTCTTAAATGACTGGACCCTGGAGTTTAAGGCAATCTGTAATCATGTCATGTTATGGCATGCCATGTAAAGTAATTTGGCTGTATCACAGGCCTCAGCCAGATAATTGCTGTCTCAGAATATAGATATTGATGAGACTTGAAATTCCCACTGCATGGTTTGGAAACCAGCTCTTTGGGCTCTCTTCTTAAATTGATTCTTTCCCATCAGTCCTCCCACAAATGTGTTCCCACTGCTTTTTGAGGAAGGCACCAGCTTAGTTCTTAGTTTCTTCTTAATTTTTTTCCTGCCTGTCAGTTTAGATTCCTTCTTTTCCTCATATTGGAATTCTTCAGTTTTGCTTGGGATTCAAATATGAACTAGGAGGCAGAGTTTTGGCATTGGCTGCTTCATGTTACTTGGAGCTGGCTTTTTTGTTTTGTTTTGTTTGTTTGTTTGTTTTTGCTATGTTTCATTCTAGGGGAGTTCCTCTATAAATCCCTTTGTACAGGAGCAGACCCCAAAGGCTGGCAAGAATGGCAAACCCTACTGCCCTGCATTCACCTCCTACTTCTCATTTATCATGAATAGTTTGGATGCAAGATTGGCTTGAATGGCAAGTTTCTGATTGGCGAGAACAAGCTGTGTATCTCTTTTATTGCTAAGTCACAGATCCGGTTTGGTACATTGTATGAATTAGCCCCTGGCTTTCTTCTCCCTTTAGTTCTCCTGTTTGGATGTTTGCCTATAACCAGTGACTTTCTGCTTGGAAGCACATCCCTTTACCATTAGAGAGCCCTTTGATGTTATGAATATGTTCACATTTAACATTTACTTTTGCATATGCAAAGTCAGTTATGTGATTTAATGGGAGCCACCAAGCTGGAACATTTCCATTAGAAAAAATTTCCAGAATTTACAGTTTATATGTATTCAGAAAAAGTTATGTTTGGTTTCCACTTTGTTTTGTCAGCCTGATATTTTTCCAGTTGTGCTTTTAATGAGCCAATAAAATGTGTGCTTATATGCAAGGCTGTGTGTGGAGCTTAAAAATAAGAGCTTCAAAATACGTTGTAGTACTAAACAACAGTAATTATATTTAAGTTTTCCCAGAGTATCCATTTATAAACTACAAAAGCACCAGGGCCCAGACAGGATGCATCTAAATGTTCAAGTGTGGAATAATCCAAATATCTAGGCAGACTTAAGGCTACTACATGTGTTGCAATGAAATGAGGACAGGGGAGGCATGGGCTACTCATACCAGGCTGTATCCCACTCTGTCTATCTTCTACTGGAATAGATATAGTTGGCAGAATAGATCCCCCTCAAGAAATTCATGTTGCTTCATTTTTTATTTGTCTTGTTTGCACCAAATATGAATCAAACACAGAGCGTTCTTTTGTGGGTGTGGGGAGAAGTTCATATGTGTTCACATTTGAAAAATGTGCATTAAAAAATGTTTTCACACTTTGATATATGGGGGGAAGTGTGCCTTGTGTGGAATTCTAAAAATGCATGCAAAATGCACACTTTTCTGGTTCAAATGAAAACAAAAACATTGCAATTACAGTGATCTAAGCTTTACAAAGGAGTTTAAGAATCTCACTAGTTTCACTTATTCTTTCACTCCTATCTCTCCTATGTCCCTCTCAAATCTTCTCCATAGATTTGGAGGACCAACCCTCCAGAACAAATTTGCAAAGCTAAAGTCTGTTGCACAAAATTGTATGTCCATTGGATGTTACCTACTGTTCCCTCTGTAATGTATAAGGAGAATGTGTTCATTGATTGCCCCAAGAAATACCCACTTTATATAGTTCAGAGATGGAGTTAGAGCAGGTTGTCTATGGTTGGACTTAATTGAACTGGAGCTCACATGCAGAGAGGTGCTCTATTTATCTATAGCTATATCTTTGCTCCTTTGTACCGCAGTAACTGTGAAGATCAGCGAAAGCTTTAGGAGTGTGGCTTATGGGGATGGGGTTAGTAAAAAGTAGCGCCGGGACCTCCAAAATTCCCCATCTCTTTCCTAACTGCTTTCCAAATTCTCTTCCTCTTCTGAACTGCATGCAATGTCCAAAGCTACATTGTTTGTGTATTCATATTATCATGTTTGTTTATTGTATTTATATTATGTTCTTCTTCCATGTAACTAGAAAGTGGCATGTGTACAGCTTCCCCAATGATCCCCCAAACAAACACTGATCAGTCCTAATCCTGCTTAGCTACAGCAAGGTTTCTATCTTACAGTGTGGGGGAGCTTTGTTAGCCAGAGGGTTAAATTTTATTTATTTATTATTTATTTATTAAAACATTTCTATGCCGCCCCATTCGCCGAAGCCTCGGGGCGGCTCACAACATAAAATTAAAATACAACAAATAACAATATAAAATCAGTCGCCCTGGCCAGATAAATAAGCAAATACTGTTAACAATTAAAATAACGCTTAAATAAAAAGGTCTTCGCCTGGCGCCGAAAAACAAATAACGACGGCACCAGGCAGACCTCTCTGGGGAGCGCATTCCATAGATTTGAAAATGGCCTCAAGATCCACATTCTGTCTTTGGGAAGGTCCAAAGGTAAAGTAGGTGGAGCAGTTTAAATACAATTTATTAATTTAAAACTTACTCAAAATTGAGCAAAACTATTATCTATATGTCTGATCATAAGTCAACAGGCCTGCTTCACTTAGTACTTTCAAATACCATTTCTACTTAGAGGTAAGCATGAGCATCATATATACTCGCAAGTACTGCTTCTGCAGGACCACTCAGGAGTAAGAAGGGCTGAATCAGTTACCAACTTTCTCCCCTAGCCCTGTTTCCTCTGCCCTGCAAGGGAAAACTGTTATCTCTTTTCAGCCGCTGATCAGAAATGTATTCCTCTCTCAGTTTGTGTGGCAGAGGTGGTGTGTAGAAGAAGCTTTTGGACCAGATGGGAACTCCATGAGCTGGAGGTGTTCCATGCCTCTTGTTATTTTAAAATAGACCATGGCACAATTTAAAAAATGTTTTTTCTTTCCTGCCCCAAGGCCTCAAAGCAGCAGCAGGCTACTTATTGTCCCTGAAACCCTGCTAGAGCTCCAATCCACGGCAGACAGTGTACAGGTTATTTTGCCACATGGTGAGATGCCCTTGTTCTTGGTAATGGCTGAGCAATTGGAAATTGCACAGCACTGGAAAGCAAATTAGAAATGCTTGATACAGGGCTAATTTCCCCAAAGCTGGAAAATTGCACTCTTTGAAAGATTAGCTCATCACATTACATGAGAATATGAGGAACTCTGAAATAGCACTAATTTATGGGAATCTGCTTTCTATTTATTACTTTCACAAAGAAAGGAATAATGGACCAAAAACCTCTGGCAGCCCAAAAATCGTTCTGGGAAGGCTTTGGTGGAGGCAGTGCAAGAAGGACCCTACTCATGGCTCAGCTGGACACACTGCCATAAAGGAAAGGCAGGCAAATAGGGAAACCAGGCTTTGCTAGCTTTGGTGCTTGATCTCTACTGTGGTTGATATTGTTAATGACTTTGCATTATTCATGGGAGGTTTCAAAAATACACCAGGTATGTTAGTGCATGTATATCAGCCCTTAGCCTGGGATCCATTCTTGAAGCATGTGCAGCCTGATTCCAGCCTAATGGGACCTGATACACAAAGGCTGCATCTTGTACATGCTTCCCTGGGACGAAGCAGCGCTGAACTCAGTGGGAAGTGCTGCACCAGTAGAAAGGTGCAGGAAGGGCCCTGGCTCAGTGGCAGAGCAGCTGCTTTGCCTGCAGGAGGCCCTGGTTCTGCCCCCAACGTTTTCAGCAGGGACTGTAGCATTTCCTGTCTGTACAGCCCCGCCTGGTCTCTGTCAGCCATACTGGGCAGATGGGCCATGACCTGCTTCAGGGTAAGGCACCTTTCTGTGTTCCTGTCTCTTAATTCTTGTGGGCTTTCCTTGGTCAGTCTGAATTGAAACTTCTAAGACTTTTTTTTTCTCATTCTGTTATGTTTTTGAGTATTGATCCCTGTTTTTTAGACATGCAACAAATTTGATTTTGAACCCTTCCAAATGCAGAACCTACTACATAAGAGGGGTATGAAGAAGTATTCTAGAATTTTGAATTGGCACCCCTTGTTGTGACTTCTTTGTGGGAAGAAATTCAAGGAGGGGCAAATTGTAGAGATGGTGTGATATTTCAGGATTAGAGACAACCGAATAGCATTTTCTTTTTTTCCTCTCAAAAGAGTCATCAAGAAGAAATGGGCTTAAAAGGTGCAAAAGGTGAAAAGGTAAATAATTTGTTGCTCTGAGATTTGGTAGTCACTTGCTTTGTTTCTCTGTTTGTTTGCTGAGATTTGATTACTGAATATTAAGCATGGCTTGTCCTTAGAGAGCCAAATCTTTCAAAACAAGGAAACAAAAGAAAAACAGACAAAGAAAAATAGCTCCACCTGTGAAAGCAGGGCTTTCAGGCCACTGCAGTTTGGCTTCACTGCCTGCTTCTGAGCCCAGACTCATGCTGGGGACGGCAGAGGGCAACCAGTAACCAGTAAGTTTCCATGACCTCTCTGCTTCCAAGGCCTGGGGAGATGCTCGTGTGGGAAGTCCTCACATTGGCAGTCTGTTGCATTTATTTTGGGCTGTCATAGTTACCTCTCAGGTGCATGCAAGACCCTCTCCAGAGTAGGGGTAAGTGACCTCGTTCAGCCAGAGGTTAATTCAGTTTTCTCCATGGCAGCATTCCAGTGGTGCTTGGGGCCAAAGGCTAAAGGGGCAGAAACAAAGGGACAAGGGGGATTGGGACAAAAATACAGGAAAACCTAGCATATTATAGCTCAGAGGTTTTATTGCCAGTAACCAAGCTTTAGCAGAGACATTTCAACTTTTAAAAATGGGGGAGGAACTGCAGAAAAGCCGGGAAACCACCAAGCAACTGATGGATGGAGGAAGGGGGTGTGGCCAACTAGGCCCCCTACTGGGGCCAGATCCTGTCCTCAGGCCTGAGGCTTACTATGCCTATTCTGAAGGCACTGAATTACCCTCAGTGGGTAACTGGTGGGGGGCAGGCGGGGGGCAAACTGTAGCAGTCCAAGTTTGCTTCTCAATAGTAAAATAAGATGTAAGGCTGAAGGCCTAAACATATTTAACAAGGGACACACAAGTCCCAGTGAATTCAGTTCGACTTAACTCTGAGCAAAGTAGGATCCACATTTTATAGCTTCAGAGAACAGCTCTATGCTAATGTTACTATCAGTTGCACAAATGCAATGCATTGTTAGGTATATTTACTCATAAGTAAATCTGACTAAATTCAGTGGGCCTTACTTCCAACTTGGCACAACAGAAAAGCAGTCACCACCAAATTCAAGTCTCAGCTTTGTGCTCCCCTGGTGGCAAATTTAAGTATGTTCTAAATTGCCCTGCTGAAATGCTGGGATTGCTAAAAAAAAAAAGGGACTACCCAAGGCATAAGCAAGTGCTGTTCTATTGTTTGAATGAGTCCTTTATTCTGCATTTGCCATTTATGCACAAATAGAAATATATTATCGAAATGCTTTCTCAGTTGCACTGGATCACAGGGTTTTGTTCTTCACTATTTTACCTTTCATGCCTAGCATAATCTAAAGCTGCCGTGATTATTAGTTTTTCCATTAACAGGCTGATTGCTGTGTTTTACATGTGCAGGGATTTTATTTTAAACGGCCACATAAATATTAAGATTGTTCATATTTGGTCACAGGGAGAGCCTTCTGGGAAAGGAGAAAAGGGGGATATGGTAAGTACAGCAAAATGCCCTCCTTGGGATCTTTTCCCACCTTATTTTCTTACTGTGCTTCATACTGCAGTTGTTTTAATAGGTCTCAATAAGTTTAGAATGTCAGCACACAAAATCTGAATTTTATGTTTTTACTGTTATCATGTTGTTATCACTGTAAATTGTCTGTTTCTTAACAAGCAAGAATGCTACATTTACAGGTAAAAAGAGTATAGATCATAGTCCGCACCTGCCCTTCTTCTGAGGCTGCTCTGCATCAATATAGGGGTATAGCATTTCCATAGGACTTACACTCAAACGGGGGCAGTGTATCCACTCAAGGCTGCAGGCTGAACCGTTCTGGAGTTATCCATGGTGCTGAAACCCTCCCACCCACCAGCCATGGATGTCTCCTGGAAATTTCAGACTGAAACCCACTGTTCCACTGATGTTAGAACCACGAGCTTCCACTGTTCATAAATTCCATTTGTGTGGTTGAACATTCTATGTAGGCTGTGAAGTTTTCCAAGCAAGGCTTCAATTGGGTGTTAATACTCTGTATGTACTTTTGGTTTTAACAAAGAGTTGAGACCTTAGCACTACTCAAAGAAAAATTCTTTTCCTGCTTTTCCACTATATAACCTCTAAGTGGCACTGTGGAATACAGAACAGTGCAAATTCACAACTGAAAAAAGTGTTTTCTTTCACTTTAAATTCTCCATTTTCTCCACTCTAAAAAAGCTTACCAAAGGGGCTGTTTAGACATAGAAGCAAATGTAGGGTTCCACATCATCTAAAGAACCTGTAAACAACTATGCATAGCCAATGATGAACACATAACAAAAGTCACATATAGAAAATCCCCACGAGTCACATTGTTTAGGGCCAAGTGCACGATATTTTATATGCTAAAACCCTATGCAAATGTTGCATCTACCTATGGATATCCAGCAGATTTGGAGGTGGAAAAAGTGAAGCTCCCCCCACCTCTATATGTAACCCAGCAAGACACAAGCCGGACACAGTATGGCATAATGTGCTGGACTGGGATTTAGGAGGTTCAAGGTTCTTGTCCCTGCTTGGCCACAAAGCTCACTAGGTAACTTTGGGCCAGTTACTGACTCCATCTACAGGTTGTTGGGATGATAAGATGGAGAAGAGGAGGATTATGTAAGCGACCTTGGGTTTCTTCCTGGAAAAGGTGAGATAAAAATATGATCAATGCATACATAAATAATTTGAGAGCTTAGATATTTATAAAGGGAAAGAAGTACCTCAGTTACTGATCTAAGCAAAGATTCATAAAGAATTTTGCTTGTTTCTAATTTGAGATACTCATCAATGGCCATGTTACTGCTTTCAGTAAAAACAGTGAGTTGTATCCACTAGTGTATTTGTCCCAGTGGAAAGTATCCTTCTTGTACTTGGTGAACCACAACTATGTGGCTGTTGGTGTTTTGTTTTGTTTTGGGTTGGTTTTTTTTTGGGGGGGGGGGGCATTTCCCCCAGCTTAATGCAGCCCTCAGTGTCAGAGCCTCATAGCCAGAGGATCTCCAAAACCTTAGCAGTAGCTTTGGGGAAACACTGGGAGCTGTAGAGAGTTGGAGAGAATGATTTTTTAAAAAGCTGTACTCTGTTACCAAAATGGAAACGTTTTATGCTTGCTTGAAGCCACCACTGGAAATAACCCAGTGCAAATACTGCCAAAAGATCACATCTGCTGTTCCTCTAGAGAAAATCAGTATGGGCAAGTCCCTTAATTTACCTTGTATTGTCACTGGCTTGTTTTCAGGGTAAAATTAGTGCAAGTCACTCAAGTAGAATTAAAATATACTGCCCATTAGTTCTCCCACAGCCAGATATGCACTTTTTAAAATCTTTGTATAGGCAAAAGGTTAACTCTTCTCTTTCAAAAACATTCTTCTAGGGTGAACGGGGGGAGCCTGGTCCTCCTGGGCCCACTGGAAATCTAGGACCTCAGGTATGTGCAATGTAGTTGATCGGCTGCACTATGAACTAGGCAATAAGCAAAGTCTTTTTGAGCACAGTAGCACAGCACTCTTGATTTCCACAGACTCTGTACAATACCATTAATGTTTAAAACCTTTATATGCTTCCAAGTTCTATTTTTTCCCAAAGGTACCTGTGCAAAATGTCCAAAATATACACAATTTTCTAATAGCTTTTCCTGGCTGTGCTGCTGATATCATAAAATTCAACTTGACCATGGTTGAACTCTGTCCAAATCCTGACTGGGTTGCTGCTCCGTTCTGGACAGTGGTTTGCTGTACATGGTTTGCTATAAACAAGTGTTAAAGTTTAGTAGCAATTTTATTCCAGTCCAGTGAAACCTTTCAGCTAAATCAGCTGTATCTTTTAGCACATTGCTCCTTCTTAAATGCTGTTTTGTTTATATAATAATGTATAGGTCACCCTACAGTTTGCAGAACCCCTGGAGAGGCTTACAGGAAATGGAACAATTTTGAATATAACCAAAATACATAAAATCAGTAAAATGAGAAGTAAAGACAGATCTAGACAATACAAACCCTTGGATTAAATCAGCTAGATGATGTGCTGAAGGTCGCAGTGTGGGGGGGATCCTGTGGGGGGCGATTCCTCATGTTGGCTCCCCAGGCTCCAACCTGCTTTCTCTTTGCCTTAAATCTGCCTTGTGCCAAGTCTGGCAGGAAGCGTGTCCATGAGGCCTGCCCTGCATATGCCACCTGGGCAGCCAGTTCCACAGGTGTGCCTTGCCAGCTGTGCATATTGTGTATACTTTGTGCAGAAACAGAAAGAAGTTCTGCCACTCTCAGCGTTCCCCAGCCAGTCGTTCAGGGGAATGCTGACAGTGCTTTTCACAACAGAGGAATCCACAACAGAGGATTGTGCTTTTCATCCCCTGATTTTAGACATGCATGGGCTGGCAAGCTCAGATGGTTAAGATTAGACCTATATAATAGGCAGTTTCTGGTGCTTTGAATTGCAGCTTAAGGAGACTCTGCAGTAAACAAAGTAAATTCTGGTGTGCATCAGAGAAAAGGGACATGCTCCTTCTTATCTGCATTGCTCCAATATGAGCAGTTTAAGAACACACTTTTACGGTTAATGGGAGCCTTATGGCTAATGGGACAGGATAAACATCAAATAAATAAAAAATAAATGTTGTTATTGTACTATAGGGCTCCCCAGGTCAACCTGGGCCCAGAGGACAACCAGGAGAAGTTGTAAGTATTGTCTTGTTTTATTGTTTCATGTAAAAATTGCTAAAGTGAAATATTAGCCAATGAAATAATATTATGGGAACCACTGGTATGTTCTTTTTACAGGCAGTATGAGAAGAGTTGTGATTGATGTGTAGCCCATGGGATTTGAAGTCAGATATCCTGGTTTATTGCTGCCCCTTGGTGTGGTTTAGTACACACTACATTATATCTGCATTTATCTTTTGCAATAAACATGGCAGGGCGCAGTTGCCATGGCTTTAGCAGTGTTTAGCAGCCAAGGCAGGGGTGCAGATGACCGTTTCACAGTTCTCATCTCTGCTGCTCAGGTCAAAATCATCCTTGAGGTCACCTGACCCATGTACTTAGAGATGCGTGTTCAAGGGGAAGACTTGAGCCAACCGTGGTCAGTACCAGCCCCACAACCTCTGTGTGATGTGAGCCCTTGCTTCACAACTCTACGAGAGCAAACCATGTTCAGTAGCAAGTCCACAGAAGTTCCCGCATGCCGAGATCTCAATGCCCCAGACCCCAGCTCTGGGATCCCTGTGTTACATGGCTCCAGGCACAAGGAAGTCCAAAATGCAGGACTGACTGTAACCTAGGAATCCACATCACAAAAAGCATAGAAATCAATGTCCATGTGTAAGCACATTCCACTGAAAGCATGGCAGGATTTTCACTTCAGGGTAAATAGTCCATAAACGGAAAGCTCCCTTAAGCCTAAGCAGCAATTGAGTCAAGTGTAATGATGCAGGCCAGGACGGAGAGACATTTCTAGCAGCATTTCTAAGGCTCACTTTTCAAGCAAGGAATGGCTACGATGGCCTTTCCACTAAGCCACTAACTGACAGAAGTTTTAGCCTAACATAAGGCTTTTTTTCCAGCCCAAATTTTTCTTTTCCACCTTTTTAGGAGTATAACACGTTTCCAAGCCCTCCCCTCCTTCCACTAAACTCTCATAGAAGCCCCTGCCTGTGAAAGCTGAAAACTGCAGCTCGGTGGGTGAGCCCCCCGCCCCCCCCCCACTGTCCTCTCACATAAGCCTGAGCACCCCCCAGAGTTTTCAAGGCTTCTTCCAGCTTCTGACCAAATTCCAACTAAACTAACACACCTGGCAATACACTGAGAAAATGAAAGCCCAAACATATTCCAGCATAACGACATATTTCATTTAAATAAGTTTTTGGTTGATATTATTTATTTTTATTTAATACTTTTATATTTTGTTATGGATTTTTATCCTAATTTAATCTTGGTTAATTTGATGGTTGTACTTACTGGTATGTGTGAGTATATTTTATTTGAGGTGCTATCTATTAATTTACTATTTTATCTTTTTATCTAATTAATAACTGGTTTTTGTAATTTATGTATGTTGTTATGCTCTATCATTGTAAGCTGCCCAGAGGAACTTTGCATTATGGGGCAGCATAGAATTAAATAAATAAATAGCTCCATCAAGTTCCGCCGCATCTACACTGACTGCCAGCAACTCCCCAGGGTTTCAGGCAGACCTGGCAAGGGTATCTGGGCAGCTCACAAAAGAGCACACCGCAATACAGGAGGAAAAAAGGAGAATATATCATCTCAAACATGCCAGTATCAAACAAAGTAAACCTCTAAAATAGTTTCAAGAAATTATTTGACCTGAAGAAAACTTACGAAGTTGAAGTACTTATGTCAAACATCTGAGGCAATCATATGCCATCAAATATCTGGAGTAGGAAACAGTTGTATTCTGGTACCAAAAAGACGGCAGTGTTGGCACCTGGTGTACTTCACTGGGAAGACGATTGCATAAATGGGGGAAGCCACTGAAAAGACCCTGTCCGTTATTGTCACTTGCCCAGATCCGGAGGAGGCACCTGGGGGAAGGCCTCTGGCATTGACTGTTCAGATTGGTAGAGGTGCTCTGTCACATACCATGGTTCCAAGCTGTGTAAGGCTTTATAGGTTAAATCCAGCACCTTGAATCAGGCTCAGATGTATACAGGCCGCCACTGCAAATGAGCCAGGATTGATGTTATATCCTCAGCTCTTCTAAGAGTAACAATACAGCATTCAGTACATTTTTGCCATTCTTAGCATAATCATTGGTTTCTGCTCATGTGACTCCTTCCTTTAAAATTGACTAAATGGACAACTGCATAAAGCATACAGGTGTTTCACTTATATCTGCAGAGCACAGTAAATTGAAAAAAAAAACAGCAGCTTCTTCAACATTCCTATTCAAATGGAAATGCCTGTCACTTATTCTGCCAGTGCTAAAAGACTTGAAAGTTTCACTTTCCAAAGCAAAGTAAAAGGGATGTGTCTATTCATGTGTTTCCTAATGGAAATAATTCATATATTTTTCCTCATGAATTCATGCAGAATAGTTGGCCTGATTGCAAGAAAATGACTAGATCTTTCATGCTTTGAGGGAAGACAAAAAAAAACTGACCCCAAGTAAATAACATCTGCTTTTCTGACTTCTTTATTAAACCCAAAAACATACTGCCAGTCTTAACTATGAAAATCCAGAGCCAACTATCCACAAAGTGAAGAACTTTAAAAGATACTATATTTGCAGAGGGGTAGTAAGTCTTCTGTAGCAGAAACAACAAAGAGTGTTGTGGTACCTTAAAGACAAACATATTTATTCTGGCACTTTATGTCAGAATAGTCCTTGAGATACCACAAGACTGTTTAAATTTTTCAAATGGATGTGTACTCTACTAGTTATGGACTCCTGCAGTTTTGCTAAGCTATCCATAAGGTTAAGGTTCTGCATTAAGGAATAGAGAAGTTTTTAGTAGAATATTTCACTCCATTTTTGTGAGCTTGCCATTTCAAGGGGGAAAAGATCTCAATGAAGCCTACCATCTCTCATAGCTATTCAAAACTGACCCCTTTCTACTTGACCAGGTGATGCAAGGTACAAGGTGTTAACATTTTCCCTTTAATTGACTAGGGCTTACCAGGAGAACATGGAATACCTGGAAAACCAGGGATGAAAGGAGATAAGGTACGTTCTGCAATATATGCTAAGTAAATTATTTGACAGTTAGGTGAAAGACTCTTGATACTACTTTGGTACTTTGAAAGACTGATATGGCCTCAGCTGCATTACAGTTTTTATCTTGTTCACCACAGCAGTGTCCAGGGTAGCTTACTATTGGCTTCATATTTATGGAGACAGAGCAACCTGGACTGGGTCATTCCATCCCTCCACATTAGGCAATAGGTCCAGGTTTTGCCTCAGCTAAGTAGCATTCACTGCCTTCCCCACACCAGTCTCCCTCTGGCTCGACTGAGTAGGGCTTCCCAAAGTGGCAGAGGCTTGGCCAGCATGTAGGAAAACAGAAGTAATACACATTTGGTGGATGAGAAAATTGCTTTTCCTGCTGCTGAACTGAACAAGAATGTATGGGTAAGACCCATTTTCCCATTTCTGCCCAGTCCTTTTTTGGCCAGCTGTTGAATAGACTGAAATGAAATTCTGCTAAGTAGAAAAGATCCCACTGACATAAGCACTGCCTTTGGGTGGTACAATAATGCATCGGCTGGGAAAGTTAAGACTGCTGGGAATATAGCTAGGATGGTGCCAGTGCTGAAGATGTACTTGCATTTATCTGACCGAGACATCTGTGCCCTGCCATTGTGAAAGAAAGTGAAGACTGAACCATTCAAACAGCCAAAATAAAGTATTTTCATTAGGCACTTCTGGCCATTTTTTCTTCATCTTTACAACACAGGGAGACTCTGGTGGAATCATTGGCCCCCCTGGGCGTCCAGGTGCTAAAGGTGACACAGGGCCTCCGGGATCAAGTCTACCAGGGAAACCGGTAGGTATCATAGGACAGTATTGCAAACAGAGACTGGGGGCCATTAAAATAAACCTGTGCCCCGAGGCAGGGCTATCTGCCTATGTACATTTCAGAGATAAGTTTACGTCATTCAGATTTATTATGCTCCAAGGAAAGCACCATGTCAAAAAATTGCCTCTAGAGCAGAGTGCTCTAGGCGAGTCTCATACCTGAGACGCTCTTTTCCATTCTATCTCCCTTTCATAGCTTCATTGAAAAGTAGGGTCAGAAGGGGCCAAGAAGACTATCAAGTCCAACACCCTGCTGGTGCAGGATACCAGTCCCTTTCGTTCCATAATTCCCGTTGCAGCTTCTCCACCTCTTAAAGTGTATCATCTATAAATGATGTTATCATTGATTCCAGAACTAATGTAGGTGCCGTTAAAGTGTCATTGTAAATGACCTAACTGGTTGTTTAAGCTGTACAGTAGCAGAAATATGGCTTCAGGGGTTTTCTTTGTAATGTAGGAATTCTGACTAAAAATGGCTGGACACTGATAACTCCAAAATCAAATCAGGTACTACCTTCAAATTCTTGTATTGAATCAGATTGCATTGTATCGTATCATATTTTAGGGTCCAGCAGGCATACCTGGAGCAACAGGTCCACGGGGGCCTAAGGTAAGGCAGACCAGTTCCAATTCCTTCCTTTAGATGTTTGTAGTAATTAATGCTCTTAAACAATGATTTTTCCTCAATTAGGGTGAAAGAGGGCTTCCTGGGGTACAAGGACCACCTGGAGAGATGGGTCCAGTAGGAAATGGAACCCAAGGCTCCCCTGTAAGTACAAAATTCAGTTTCTGGATGTCACTGATTTCCTGTTCTTTCCAGAGTTGTAATGGGGCTTCCAGATTAAGCTTTTGAAGTGTTATCACCTTGTCCTATTCATGAAATTGTACTGGAAATCTACATGACCCAGACATGCTCCCATAATCTTCCTATACAGCCTTTCCTCAATTCTCTCTTATTTTCTCATTATATAGAAAATCTATTACTTTTTCAAGACATACAAATAGGGCAAACATCAACTTTTGTGGGCAGTTGCTACCATAACTTTCCAGCAGTTTGTGCTACAGTTGAGGGTTCATGATACGATGTTGTAGAAGGGCAGATTCAAAAAATGCACTGTCAAAATTCTGTGCTACTCTTTTTCTAGCATCCACATCTGTAAGTGACTTAATGTCTGATAACATGTCCTTAAATTTTAGTATGTTTCCATGGAGCCACATGCTTTTACTTTCCCTTTAGAGGGAGCATGCAAAATAGAAGGCAACTGCTTTGAAATCTCCCTTTCTAGAAGTTATAACCATTTTGCATGGGGGTGCTTTTACTGATTTTTATTTTTTAAGAATTATTATTACATTGCATTTCTATCCTGCTTGTTTCCTCTTGTGAGGAACCCAAAGCAGCTTACATGGCTTCACTTTATCCTCACATCAACAACAACAACAACAACCCTGTGCAGTAGGACAGGCTGTGAGTCAGCACTGGCCCAAAGCCACCCAGTGAGTTTTGTGGGACTACAGCCCTGATCTCATGGGTGCCCAGACCATCACCACACCACACTGATTCTCGGGGCCACTTGTCCAACTCTTGTGTACCTGTATGGTAAACCAGGTCCATAGCCACCCTAAAAGTTTGGGGGACACTACCAAAAAGTAAGGGAAGAATTTATTTGTTCTGTAGGTCTTTTTATTAAAAAATTGTAAACTCTTCTTACTTAACCTTAACTTGGGGATCATGCTCCAGTTTATGTACATTCAAAACTTTTCATTAAGCAGCCTGTCCAATCATTGACAATTCTTGCTACAGATACACATAAAAGTTTGAAAAACAAGAATAACCCAGTGTCAGAATATCAAGGATACGCTATATCAGGAAGGGTCTTATAATAAAATCATAAATTTAGAAGGAGCTATTTAGGCCATTGAGTCCAACCTCCTGCTTAGCCCAGGAATCCAGTTTAAGGCCTCTTTGGACACCCTCTACATGCATACCTCCAGTGATGGAATACCTTCCACCTTCCTCGGCAGGTGCTTCCCTTGGCTAACTGCTCTAGCAACTGGGAGGTTTTTTCTCATGTCCAGCTGAAGTCAGCTTTCTTGTAGCTAATGCCCATTATTTTGTGTCCTTTAGTCTTGGATGATAGAAAACAGATGGCAGCTCTCTGTGTGGCAACCCTTTATTTGCTCAAAAACTACATAGCCCCTCTGCCTTTTCAAGGCTAAACATACCAGTTTTATATTGTCTTGTAGAACTTCTAGTCCCCTGATTACCTTCATTGCCTGTTTTTGAACTAAATTATTTGATTCTTACTTAAAGCATGGTGTCCATAAATGGACACTACGCTCAACCTCTGGGGTTTTCTTCTGAGTGCCAACCCCTGAAGAGGCTTGGAGAGTGGCAGCTAGGAGGAGGGCCTCCCCCATCATTGGAACAACCTCCCTGCTATTGCCAGCCAGGCACCAAATTTGCTATATTTTCGGCACTAGGTTAAGACAGCCCTCTTTGCAGAAGCCTTTAAAGACCTTCCTGGTCATTCAGGGGCTTGACACAATTATCCAGGTAACTTTTCTTTATTCTTAGCGAGGTCTTTTTGTTGTCTTTAAAAGTTTTACATTTTTTAAATTAATTTTTATTCCGTGTCAATATTTTTATCTGTCGCATTTTATTGATTTCTGTCTAGTCTTTTGACCTATCAAGATCATTCTGGATTTTGTTTCTGACTTGAAAAGGATTAGCTGTCCCATTGAATGTTGTGTAGTCTGCAGATTGGATAAGCATTCCCTCCACCTCTTGAACTGCTATTGATGAGGTTTCCTGCCATTGAATCCTACTTGTTAGTCATCTGTGCTTATTAAAATCAGCTTTCCTGTTGTTCAAGGGAGTTTATGAAGACATTTGATTCTACTTCATGGTCAGCTGATTGGCATACTTGATTGCTTCTTCAACAGTATCATTTCTCATTTCTTGCAGCTGCTTCCCAATGCAATTGATAAGTTTCAGTGTTGCCTTGATATCCAGATTCTGTGGCTGCAACGTAATATTACAAGTTTAAGATATCCCTCTGCTTCTAGCATAAGGACGTGATGGGAAGGGCCACCAATCTGATTGGGTGACCCAATATCTTAGCTTTTAGATGAGAACGTTTTTCAGACGGAAAAGATGTGCTGCCTAATTTGAGTGTGGTAAAGACTTGAATTCGTCATCTGAATATATAGCCAGGTGGTGTCCAGTCCATTGTTGAACCAACAGCGCCCCATCTGCGTTAAGGAACTACCTTTATAAATGTGAGCAACACACTCCCTTTTTAAATATATATGTACACATTTGTATAAATCAAAATACTCCTTCATTGGAAGTATAGCATCAATTGTACATGCTATTAGGATGTAGGTAGATTCTACCTTGGCACTGCCCCAAAGAAGAAAAACAGACTTTCCTGTGATTTCTATAACACGTTTAGTTATTTGTGAAGAGAAAGAAGTAATGGGAGCAGAAAAAATTAGCCCCACCCCAATTTCCCCCAGCTTATTAGCCCATGATGAACTATAAGCAATCTATCATTTCATTTTTAATTCAGCCATAGCACTTCCCCTGCTTTCCTGGTGATAACATTACAATATGGAGGAAAACCCTTCATTCAAAGATCTTCTGTTATATAGTTTCAGTAAGAAGAATAACTACTTGCTACTCCATTTTAGGGTGAGGAGAGCAATCAGCTAGTTCGCTGATGTTGTACACTGCCAGTACAACACAGATGAGTAGACCAAGGAATAAAGAAGTGGAAAGAGGGGAGGACAAAAAGGTAGCTATTGCAGCGTCCTCACTTGATCCACCCACATGGCTGGATGGGAGATGCCACAATAATATCAAGGAAATGAATGAGACTCACTGTGCCTTCTTCTGCAAAAGGCCATGCTGTATTTATCAAAAAGAAAATGGTGGCCTTGTGCCCACAAAAAGACCAAAGCTCCGCTATTTGCACAGTACCCCATTTGTGTCCACCTCTATACCAGAGATCAAGGTGCTTTAGACCAAACTATTCTCTCGGACCTTTTTGTGGCTTTGCATCTTTTAACATGAGTAGTTCTAGAATTTTTCCACTCTGCTATTTATTCACTTTATGCACTGTAAGCTGCCCAGAGGAACTTTGCATTATGGGGCAGCATAGACATGGAGATAGATAGATAGATAGATAGATAGATAGATAGATAGATAGATAGATAGCTCACTCTCTCGCTCCATCAGGTTCCGCCGCATCTGCACTGACTGCCAGCAACTCCCCAGGGTTTCAGGCAGACTTCTCCACCTCCACCTTGCAAGGCTATCTGGGCAGCTCACAAAAGAGCACACCGCAATACAGGAGAAAAAAAGGAGAGTATATCATCTCAAACATACCAATATCAAACAAAGTAAACCTCTAAAATAGTTTCAATAAATTATTTGACTGAAGAAAACAGTTGAAGTACTTATGTCAAACATTTGATGCAATCATATGCCATCAAATATCTGGAGTAGGAAACAGTTGTATTCTGGTACCAAAAAGACGGCAGTGTTGGCACCTGGTGTACTTCACTGGGAAGACGATTGCATAAATGGGGGAAGCCACTGAAAAGACCCTGTCCCTTATTGTCACTTGCCCAGATCCGGAGGAGGCACCTGGGGGAAGGCCTCTGGCATTGACTGTTCAGACTGGGAGAGGTGCTCTGTCACATACCATGGTTCCAAGCTGTGTAAGGCTTTATAGGTTAAATCCTATAAATCCAGTTAAATGTTTTTATGTATATTTGATTCTTATTCTTGTGTGGGGGGTTTAGATTTTAAAGTGTGTCATAAACTCACCCAATTTCCCTTAGGGCAAATATTTAGGAACATATATAAAGACCTTAAGGAAATAGGGCAGGATCCAGCACTGCTTTGGCTGCACCAAAATAGAAGCAACCTTTAGGACCATGTCAATAGCATGTGCTGGTGCAAGAGGTTTCTCCAGAAAACCCATCACACCAAGTTTGTGCTGTTGGTGTTGTGCTAACAGTCAATTGTGCTAGTACTCTTCAATGTTATAAGTGAAGTGGCAGCATTGGCTATTGCTCTCCAGTCTGTAAGTATTATCCTAGAAATTTGCCTTCTTTCCATTACTCCACTGCATTCTATACCAGGGGTCCTCAAACTTTTTCCACAGGGGGCCAGTTCACTGCCCCTCAGACTGTTGAGGTGCCGGACTATAGTTTGAAAAAAAAAGGAATTCCTATGCACACTGCACATTAAAAAATTAATTGAAATTAAAATACATTTAAAAATTAACATTTAAAAATTAATTAAAAATTAAATAATGTTTGCTCGCTTGCTTGGAGAAGGCAGCGGGGGAGGCATGGGAGCCCCGTGGCTTTCTCCAAGTAAGCTTTCTCCATCGCAGCTTTCTCTGAGTAAGCCACTCTGCCCCAGCCTGTCTGCCCTGGGCTCAGTGAGGTGGTGGCAGCGGCTTGCTCCCTTGGAGAAGGCTGCGTGGCCTAGCCACCCCCAGGCTCGCATAATTAAAAATAGATTTAAAAAGTTAAATTTTTCTTACCTTCAATCCTTTTTTAATTTCTTCGTTTTCATCTTCGTCTCTCTTTCTCTTCCACCCACCTCTCTTCTGTTTCTGCTCTGTATTCCCACTCTGTATATGCATGCAATGGGGGCGGGGGGGGTGGCGGGCGAGCTGGCACACGCACAGTTGCGCTGTTGCAATTTGGCGCATGCACCGGCTCTCTGTTTTCTCTAAGCGAGTCCAAAACCTCTGAGGAAGGCTGGATAGGTGAGCATGGTGAGCCAAATCTGGCTGTAGTTTGAGGACCCATGGTCTATACAATTGGCTAAAAACAGCACCTTAACCTATATATCCTATGAATCATCAACATGTAGGTCCCATTCCAAGCGTTTGAAGCACTGTGTGGTCTTATTTGAATGAACTTTCAGTGTCCAGCCTTAACTGAGCATTTGGTACTTTGTTTTTAGTTTATAATAGCTTGTTATATTTTATCTTTTAGGAATATTTTATTCATCATTTTACGGCTTATTTTAAAACCATCCAGTTACCTGCTACAAGTTCTCAGGGTAGATCCATTTAAAAATAAACGAAAACAGATAATCTGTTCTTGAAATGTGTTTCCTGCTGTTACAGGAATGCAGCGAGGACTGCCACGGTCTTGTGACCAATGCATGCTAGCCGGGGAATGTCCTGCTTCCTACAGACTTCACACAGGGCAATTCCTCTTGCGGATCGTTTCACTCTCCTCCGCATACTGGCCTGTGGCGTTGAATATCGTAAACGGGGAAGAGGGTCAGGATGTTCACTCCAGAGTATTGGGTGGCAGAGAAGGAAAACAAGCATCGTGCTGTTCCCGTTGTACTATCCGGCTACTCAGCTATCCCCATAAGGGTCAATGGTGGACTCTGCTTTGCATTATCACATACATGCTGTGTAACAGCCTTCCCAACCTAGAGCCCTTCATTTGTGTTGGACAACAGTTACCATCATCCTCAGCCTACATGGCCTTTGTAGCCTGCTCCACCTGTTTTTTCTTCCTTTGTTCAGAAGAAAAGCAGGAGACATAACTCTTGGAATGAATTGAAAGACACAATCGTAAATTCAACCATAAATGTTGTTATGTTTACTCTCTTTCTCTCTACCTAGAGTCCTGTTGGAATATTGTCCTGCGGAATAAAAATTTATTTATTTAATTAATTGAATGAATGAATGGAACATGTTATTGGCAGAGTAGTTCTTCAGAAGCTTTGAGCATCTACATCTTTAAATGATGTGTGCTGATTTCACTTTTGTAAAATAAAATACAGCTGTTCTGTAATTCTCATGAGAATAGCTAATTTTAGTTTTCATTTTTTTGGTTAATTTTGCTGGATGATTATCCAAAGTATGGGTTACTCTCAAACCAGACAAATGGCATAACTGAAATGTTTTAAATAAATAAATAAATCTCTACGTCAGGGGCTCCCTCCTGCCAGGGATCTGCAGGAAGGAGTGGTTGTATTTCAGTCCAACGTTTCTACCTCTTCAGAACATAGAAGGAGTCGTCCTATTTTTGGGCAACAGCCGTTCATTTTTTGGGATTAAATGCATAACCACAGGGGCCCAGTCCAGCCAAGGCATCTTACTTTATATTCAAGGATGCCCAGAAAGCAGCAAAATCATTTGTGGCATAGATAGCAAACTGTTCATTGGAAATAACTAGATATGTTGATAGATGATGGATGCAGATTACCAATGAAGAAGCAAAGCAAGGCTTATGCATTCTCACTTCAGACCGCAGGGCTTATGCGAAGGATGGCACCCAAGGAGCACTGAGTCGCTTGCACTTCTGGCTCCACGCGGAAAGCCAGTTACACATAATTATACCATGGATTATACCATGTGCCACTCTGCCTTGCAGAGTCAGTGAGAAAGATCCCCAAGCTATCAGTTGGGTGGAAAGGAGGAAGGTAGAGACAACCCAACCGTCCCTGCTCTTCTTATCTAAGGAACCATTCCCAGAGCTTATTACCTGTTCATCTCTTGGGGCCTTCTCAAGACTACAGGGTTGCTCATGGGAGTAAAGGCCTGAAACCTGTCCAGCCTAGCACTTTTAATTGAGAGGGCTGTACTGGACACGGTGAGCACTTCATTCAGACTCTGCATTATACTGTCTTCTGCTCAATCCCAATAGAGTTGATGAGCTGGTTTTTATTCTCTGTTACTGGTTGCACAACAGTGCTTCGCTTTCAGCAAAAAAAATGAATTACAGCCTGTTCCAATATTCATTTAAATCTGTCCTATTGAGTGCCCTGGACTGCTCAGGATTTCAGCCTGAGGTTTATAAGGCAATTTTAAGACCGATCTCTGTTGCTTCAGTACTGAGATACAGTGTCTGTCACTTGTGTTTCAAGTTGGTTCCTGACATAATTGTTGAACACAAGAAAACTACTTACTCTCTCTCTTTCTCTTGCAGGGTCCTAAAGGCCCTCCAGGACCACCAGGGTTCCAGGTAAGGTAAATCATGGAAAAGCTGGGTGAATTCTAGCTGAGCTTTTCTGGATGAGCCATTATCCAGCGCATTATGTGCACTGTTGTTTCTGACCAGGCTAGATAGTGTTGTGACATTTCAGTTTTGCCTTTGAACTTTCAGCAAGCCTTTTTGGAGCAAGAAAAAAGTGGCATTTCTTTGCAAAAATGAGAGGACAGTTTTTAATATAGCTGGATTTGTGCTATACCACAATGCCACCTTGAGGTTGTGTAGCAGTAAAGCAGGGAATGCTTCTTGTGGAGTGCTCTGATCTCAGTTGTGTGGCACATGTAAAAGCAGATGTAGTGGGTTAGCAGCCCAGTGCAGAAAAAGCTCATGATGTGTTTATCATGTTGTGGTTTTGTGCTGCATGATAGCCCTACCTGTTTCCATTCCAGGGCCCAAGGGGACCCCCTGGATTACCAGGAACTCCAGGAACACCGGGTCTTGATGTAAGTACTTGGCCAATGCAACACTGTCAAGATGCATTCCTTGTCAAAAGCAAGACTCTTAAAATGCTTAAAACTCTGTGTTTATATACACATGAACAGGGTATTCCAGGACGAGATGGAAAGCCAGGACTTCCAGGCCCTCCGGGGGATCCAGTATGTATATCAACCAAAGTTCCACTACATTTGCAATTAGTGGGTCAATCCGCAGAGTTTCTCAGTGTAAAAGCCCTATTCCAAAACTGGATCCATACATTAAATAACAGAAAGGCACATATGTTATATGAACAGATTCCTCATTTTACTCACATAGAATTATATTCGACAAGCACTTATAACAACATCATCTCACTAAAGTCAGATACTTGCCCTCGAACCAGTCTGAGGTCATGGACCTATGTGTGTTTAGGCAGCAAGAAGTCCTGAAACTTGCAGCATCCCCAAGGCAGGATATGGAAATATTGCTACATAGCTAGAAGGAATACCAGTTCACAAGGTCCTCATAGCCTCCCCCTTTTCAAGTCTCTTGGGAGTATTACATAAGGAACTGTAAGCAGTGGGTTGGAAGAAGCACCACACTAAATGCATCATTTCCTGAAAAAGGCATTTCTAAGCCAAAGCTACCATTTCCAGTATTTTGAAATAAAGAAATACTTTGTACTCTGGGTGAACATAAAGGTTTATAGCTGGATCCCATCCTGGTGGCTTGATAGGAGAGAAGATCACTCCCGCTTTGGATGCTTGGGCAGAGGTGTGCACGTATGCTGTGCAAAGGTGCCCTGTTCTCACTGTGCTCCACATCTGAAAGGCAAGCCATGACAGTGGAGCTGGGCTGAGCCCCACACAAAGGCTTCTGCTGAGCCCTCGGACCCCAGTTCTTGATCCTGGCAGCCGCCTGAGAGCCATGCCAGAGACTATGCAGAGGCACACTGGAAGTTGCTGTTCACAGATGTTCAGCAGGGACCAGCAGCCAAACCTGGCTCCATGATGAGCATACTTGCAGAATGTACACACGTATGGTTGAAAAATCCCTTTATTTTTAGGAGAAATAAAGGTCAAGTGTATAAAGCCCCACAGCATACTGGCTTATGCTTTTGGGTGCTTCTGTCATTGAGGCAGATTTCTAATGGAGTCTTTCTGGATGCTGTAGCCAGGTGTAACTAAGCAATCCATTTAATACTTGGACATGGGATAAGTAGAGCTTTGTGCTATCCCTGTATCCCAATCCAGATCTCCTCTGTGTTCTATGTAAGTGGATGGACAACAGCCCAGTGGTGGAACACCTGGTTGGTATATGGGAAGGCTCATTACCCAGCATTTCCTGGAAGGGTTCAGAAAGACTCTTGCCTGAAGCCTTGGACAGCCATTCATGCCAGTCAGTGTTGAGAATATGGAGCTCTCTTTGTATAATGCAGCTTACTATGTTCTTAAGTTAATTGGCTCAAAAAAGCCCAGTTATTTTGTATCAAGAAGGGTCAGGGGGTAGATGGGCATATGAAAGGTATATACAGACCTCCCATCTCTGCTAAATTCTGGATTTAAAAATACCTATACAACTCTCTGGTTGGTTTGCAGGTTGCTCTTCCTCTTCTTGGAGACATGAGTGCTTCATTGAAGGTAATGGCATTTCATACAGCTGCTTTTCCACTTGCCATGAATGGGCAGGTTACGAAAACTCGCCTCCTCATAGGCTGCTTTTTGGTGGCTTAGATCCACTCCCTCAGTAACACTGGACTTGGCAGGACGCATATTGCTGGTAATTTGGCATGCATGACTATCTACCCATTTGTCTGCAGGCAGCCAAATTACTAGAGGCAGTGGAATTTGCATTATGAATGAAGACAAATTCCACTCTTACCTTTACTGCCTAACTTTATTAGGTCGTCTTTGTACTTCTGGTTTGCTGCTTAGTGTCAGAAATCAGGAACACAGGAAAGCTCTCATACAGATGCCCTCTAAGCTCACCTTGATGAGCAGATGATTTGGAACTGTTTTATTACTCATACTTGATCATTTTACTCAAGATAATACCTTGTCATATATTGGAAGTTTTCAAAGTGATGGCAACACAAACTACTTTTCATTTTACAGTGCAGTGTACCTTTTCAGCGGTGTGAGCAACTGTGATGGGAACTTTAAAAAGAGAAAATTGGCTGCATAGATGGTTGTCCCCCATCAATAAACATGGCTTTAATGACTTGTGTCTCAAGATAATATAGAATTGTATATTATGGGTGGAGAACTCCAAATCTGTCCCGATGGAGAGATCTGCTGCTGAGCTACTCTGCATCCCAAGTCCTGCCTTGAACACAAGCAGCTAAGAAAGGAGGTGGGAGGCAGTTCTTCAGTGGTTCTGCTCTGCCAGCTCCTTGTTCTGGCCCACACCCTTCACTGAGTTCAGTGGGAAGGAAAATACCAATGCCAGCCTGGAACCACTGCAGGTTGGGGACCCAAACTAGGAAATGGAGGGACTTTGGATACGTTTTAATGGCATATCTCCCACCCCTGCTTAGTGCAATCTGATTTTTTGTTCCCAACTTTAGCCACTTCCTCTACAAATACTTTCATTAAGTTAGGCTAGAATTTAAACTAAATAGATATCTACTTATTTATCTGTCCCCATGTAATAGTCAGATCTAACTCATGACATACAACTGCAGTTACATAGCATTATTTTTACACAGTGGTTTCACAACTGCATGTTCATGCATCATCATCATTTCATGAGCGGAGCCAGCTGGAGCCAGGGGTCAGACTAGATGGCCTGGGAGGTCCCTTCTGACTTGCTCTGTTTCTGTGTTTCTATGTTGTTATTATACTTCCCTCACATGTGTTCTCTGGCAGTACCATTTTCATCCGGTATGAGCAATTCTTTTAATTCTAGGAAAGCTCATTAGCAATATATTCCGTTGCAATGTTAGGGCTTAGTTAACTTCACACACTCTTCACTAGGACAGAAAAAATTAATGCCCTGCTCTTTAAATATAAAAAATGTGATATTCCCTCATCTGATCTTTGTCTGGTAGCAGATAAATCACCATCGTTTTCTGTGTTTGTAATAGAGTGTCTGTTGTACCTGTCAGGCCAGGATTCCAGGATCCATAAGGATCAGGAGGGAAAAGGGGGGACTCACAGGCTGGTCTAGTAGAGATGGGCATGAAAGGAGAAAGGTGTAGCAGTTGCTGTGAGTGTATGGGGATACCTGTTGCATCTCTGCTTCCCTCACATTCTACTCACCGTTCTCCTTTGCTTGTTATCATTAGGGTGAAACTGGTTCCAGAGGTCCTCCAGGAATTCCAGGTAGAGAAGGGCCTAAGGTGAGATCCTGAAAATGCTTCCTGGCTGATGAAGATGGATCATGAATTCTCATTTATATTTTAACTTAATTATATTGCAAAATCATAATGGTGTTTATTTAAAAAAATAAGCTCAATTGCTATTGGTAAGACAGATTTATCATGATATCGCAGAAATCCATGGCTGATTGTTGCATCATCTGAATCCAGCCTCTTTTGGGTTGGCAGCTGTCAAGCCAAATCCAAATATGAATGATTAAAAGGGGGGTAGTGGGATGCACGCCCCTTTTTTGGGGGAAAAAATCCTTTTCTCTTTTGCTTGTTTGCTGCCCTGATTGGCCTCAGGGTGAATCACTATATCATTTTGCTGTTTTTGCTGAGACTTTTGGTGCTATTTTCCTCCTTTTTCTTCCCCAGGGGAAAAAGGAACTTTGACAGATTTGATATCAAGCTATCAAAACTTTGGGTCAAGTTTAAAAGGTGGATATTTTGTTTTGTTCTGTACAGGGAAATAGCATTTTTGAGTAGAATATATGACTGTATATGTCTCAGATGGAACCTCCCATTTCTTTGCCAAACCCCCATTTTATCCCTAGAAAACTGAGGTGCAGATTTCCTGAGCATCTACAGTCTCAGCAAAAAGGGCAAAATGTGCATGAACCTGAGCACTATCAGGTAAGAAAATAGATATTTGCCCTTGCCACAAAGGAGTTATAAATCCTACCACCTCCTTTTTGTGAACAGAGGTCACGCATGCCTTTGATGTGGCTTGATAGTTCACCTTTTGACAGCTATAAAATCAAACCAAAGGGTAGGGGAGGCCTCTTTGGACTATCTTTTGGTTAACATCCTGAATTGATACCTGCTGCACGTTAGCAGCAGGTCTGCAACTCAAATTGCCCAACCAATGTGGCCTCAAATTCCATTTTCACACAACTGCCCTTGAGTGTAGTTGCCTAAGTGCTGAGTTTTAAAAATTAGTTATCCTAGTCTTAATTATTCTCTCATTATATATCCAAGTATGATGCAACATGGCCACTTTTCATTCTCTATGAATGAGCATGCCAATATTCTCTTTTAATGGATTTAGGGATGCATGAGCAATCTTGCATTCATCAAACACTCTTGCCCATGTGAAATACACTGATTTGTTTAAATGCCGGTTTGTGCATAGATTTAAATATTTCAGACTACAGCATTAGACATGCGGCTAAATGTCTGAAAGAACTCTATGCATAATTGGGAAATGGATAGAAAATAGAGTAGCCAAAATCTTACTCTCCTTATACAAAGCTTTGGTGCAACCACGTTTGGAAGATTTTATAATGGAAAAACGGAAATACTTCTTCACACAATGTATAGTTAAGCTATGGAATTCACTACTGTGGGTGAAGGTGATAGAAGCCACTAATAGCCTCCTCCCTCGTGAATCTGTTCATTCTGGATGGCTTTAAAAGGGGATTGGAGGGATTCATGAGGGAGGAGGCTCTCAGTGGCTGCTGGCCCTGCCGGCTGAGTGCTGCCTCCTTCTCCAGGGAGGCCTGCCTGCCTGGCCCAGTGGCCGAGGAGCTGGGCAGGGGGGAGGCCTTGCAGCCGCCCTGCTGGAGGGGCCCTGTGGGCAGCTGGCTTGCCACCGTGTACACAGAGTGCTGGACGAGACGGACCTTTCGTCTGAGCCAGCATGGCTTTTGCTATGCTCTTACATAGTGAGCAGCTGCTGTGAAAAGGGCAAACTTCATATTAGGTATAATTAGGAAAAAAATAGAAAATAGAACTGCCAAAATATTACTCCGCTTATACAAACCTTTGGTGCAAGCACGTTTGGAAGATTTTATAATGGATAAAAGGAAATACTTCTTCACACAATGTATAGTTAAGCTATGGAATTCACTACTGTGGGTGAAGGTGATAGAAGCCACTAATAGCCTCCTCCCTCGTGAATCTGTTCATTCTGGATGGCTTTAAAAGGGGATTGGAGGGATTCATGAGGGAGGAGGCTCTCAGTGGCTGCTCGCCCTGCCGGCTGAGTGCTGCCTCCTTCTCCAGGGAGGCCTGCCTGCCTGCCTGGCCCAGTGGCCGAGGAGCTGGGCAGGGGGAGGCCTTGCAGCCGCCCTGCTGGAGGGGCCCTGTGGGCAGCTGGCTTGCCACCATGTACACAGACTGCTGGACTAGATGGACCTTTGGTCTGAGCCAGCATGGCTTATCTCATGTACTTATGTGCTAGCCTCTCTTAGAGTTGGCAGGCAAAACTTCACCACCAGAGACCAAAATCAGCTCACCTGGTATTCTTACTGGCCCCCTGGTGTTCCCCAAAAGAACACATCCCCTCTCCAAAGCCCATCCCCTTTTCCCAACCACAGCCTGGCTTCTTTGAAGTTTTCCACCCATTCTAAGTGGCTGAAATGCCTCTCCTTCGGTTCAGTACCTAGCAGTGAGTGCTTTGGGCCAAAACACATTGGTATTTTTGCCCCCACCCTTCTGGTTTTTGGCCACCATTACCACTGGGATGTGTCCGTGAAGGATTCTTTGAAAAAGAATTTGGCTCTTGGGGCAAAAGAGTGTCAACACCCTCATCTTGGAGCTGAGTATCCGGATGTGCAGTGCAATCTCTGCTTTATTCCTTTGGCATCAAATGCCCTCAGAATGGCTCTGATAAAGTCATTTTATAACCTGACCAGTTTAATGACATCCAGATCTTCTTTGATCCAAGGGGAACAAAGGTGAACGTGGATTTCCTGGGCTTCCTGGAGAGAAAGGTGATGAGGTAAGCACTACTTCTGTTGTCATAATAATTGGTTTCCATTTATCCAAGTGTGTGTTCATAGAAGAACTAGTTCCGTTCATTTTCCAAACCGACTTGTCAAGCAGTTCCACAAAGCTGCTGCTGCAGCACTTCTAGGAAAAAACAGCATGGCATACTAAGACATGTTTTTCATTACTCATCTTTTACACCATTCTGAAATGCATCCGGCAATTTAGGTATAGAGAATTAGAACATAGCTTAGCAAAGTGGACTAGATATCTACTGAGAAACATTTCAGTTTGAGAGAAAAAATTGTATTTCATGAGTTCACATATTGACTAGCTGTTGTAATGCTGCCCAGTTTTGATACTTCTGGAAAAAATGAATATATTCCGTACATGACTGTGTGTACTTGCTTGTCTAATTCCATAGACAGGAATTATTTCCACCAGGTAGGGCAAATGGAACTTATGAAGCTGTCCTCATAACAAATTCAGCTATTCACAGCAGCTTCTCAACTGTATTTTTAAATTCTTGCCACAGCTGTCGAGGTATGTGACATTACAGTCTAGCATGATGTTCATATTGAAAACAAGCAACAATATATTCAATTTTGGGCACTTGCTCTGAGCTGCCTTGGAAGATACTTTTGTCCAGGAGTTTTAGTAGCATTTCATGAAATAAATTATAGGCAAGAGGGGAAGGAAGCCTTGCCCTTCATCTTTTGACATTCTCCCTTAGTTAATCTTTTCAGAAAACGATGTGGGAACATTATTCATTTAGCTGGAGTCAAGGGTGGGTTTTCATTAAGGGCCATGCTTCCATTCACACTGTAATTTGAACACTGATGGTAAGGCACAATGTGAGCTGTTGTGGTTCTAGTTGAATAGATGAACCCCAGTGAGATTAGTGCATCGGAATACGAGAAACACAGGGATGCCGTCAGGGCAGGACTTTGGGGAATAGATCCAGACTGCAAATCATTCAGCTCAGCAAGAGTGCTCCCAAACACAGCAAGGCTGACTTAACACAGTTTGAAGAAAGGGGCACAAATGTACATTGCCATTTAAACAGCAGGCATAAGACCATACCACCGGGAAACATAATTCATCATTTATGCATGTAGAAGCAAAACTTTGGTTGTATTCTAGTGTTTAAGTAAATTAAATTATGTAATTTTGGAGCAAATAGTTCAGTAGGAAAAAAATTGGGGTGCGGGGAGAGCAAGCTTTGACCTTTGCTGAGCAAGCTTGTCAGATCTCGTGTTCAGTAAATGTAGCAGCAGCAGAAATTTCAGGGAATGACTTCAAGCATCTCTTAACAATACCTTGCTGCTGAGAACCAAGAAGCAACAGAGCAAGTGATAATAAAAAGGCCAGTTTATAAGTGGCATTTAGTCTTCTAAGAGACTCCAGAGAAGTTCATTCTGGACAAAACTTTTTATTGGTTCAGTAGGGTGCCATACTGACTCATTCAGTTACTAAGCAAGAGCCAAACTGCCACCCCATTCATCTGTGCCTTAGGCAATCCAGCACTAAGTGAATATTCTCAGTGGCTCTCACATTTTAGCAGCTCCCCTAGGTTAGAACACTCTACGTAAGTGGGCAAATTAATGTTCCTTCCAGGAAAGTGCACTGCAGACAGTGATCTCATTAGTGCGTCTGAAAGAAATAAAGTTTCAAGAGCAACAAAGTGGGTTGGACTTCAAGTGACTGTCATAATGGGTGAGATTTTACTGGATTTTGGATAAAGCCCAGCAAAGATTTTTTCCAAGGCAGAGTCAGTCTGAAAAGTAACATTTTTCTGCAGACATCTTCTGCAGACAATGTCTAAATCTCATTTCTCTTCCATCTTCCTTTCTTACATGATTGCAGATTTATTCTCATTCAAGATAAAGATTACCCTTAGACAACATTCAGACAGCAAATGCATTATTTTATATATCAGAGTGGCATAATTAGCACCCGTGTATGGGAGGGCAGTGGTTCACAGAGGCTACATTGTTCTTTCTGTTATCATGTATGAACACAGCACATGGTAACATACACAAGTTCAAAACATGTTATGCTGCTTTAGGCATCCTGGTTTTCCCGAAAAACTTGGTCATTGCTGTCTTGTGAGGATGCTCATCATTCTCTGTTAGAGATCTCCAGCCCCACCTAGAGAGGCATGAGAAATCTGTTTCATGGTGATTAGGATTTATCATGTTTGTACACCCTCCACCAAACACAGATTCAGAAACACAACTTGTGGTCAAAATCCCTACATGTTTCAACTTGCAGACCCAAAGAAATATGTTCAGCAGCATGTATACATTTGAAAAATGTGCATAAAATATGTTTTGTGGAAAATGCACATAAAATGCTTTAATCAATGGAAGAGGATGTGTACATTTCAAGGATACATACAATTAAAACATATACTTTGAAAAATATATGTGAAATGTAGAAGAATTTTCATGCAGAAAAAAAATCTCAACATGATAGAAACAACATGGAATGAGCTTCAAGATGGAGTTTAGTAAACTTTGATGAGTGCAAGTTTTGCTTGTACACATTTCCATAGCTCTGCCTTATACATTTAAAACTTCCAAGGGCTCTCTGGAAAGAATAGACTGCTACGCTGCTAATCTCTCTGTCATGTCGCCCCTCTTTATTTATGAGGTACACTATACATTGCATCAAACAATGCATTAATCTCTGTGTTGATGTCAGATATTTGGCTATTTAAAACCATAATAACAAATGCATCATGCTAGGGAGTAAATAACCAAGAGAATTTTCAAACATTAAAAAGTGTTTTACTCACAAAATCAAACAGAAGAGCATGCTAGTTTGTTTTTTAAAGTTTCTTTTATTGAAAATGAAAGAAACAAAAACAAAAATTTGAAAACATGCATTTAACATATCTGTATTCCTTTCCCCTCACACCCCTATATCAAGTTACATAAAATAAGAGTCCAAAGGCCTTCAGGATGCATTTGTTTATTTATTAGATTTATAACCTTTTTTTCTTACAAAGAACTCAGTGGCTTACAATATTCTCCTCCAGCTTTCAGTCTTATTCCCATAACAACAACCTTGTGAGGTAGGTTGGGCTGAGGATCTGTGAATAGCCCAGAGCCCCCTAGTTGGCTCCATAGCCAAGTGGGCACTAGAACCCAGGTCACCTGAGTCCCAAACCCATGCTCTTAACCTCTATCTCTGCACTGGCTATAGGAACTGTTACAACAGCCATAATAATTTATAACTTGCTGGTACCATCCTCCCATATTCAATTCTATTAGTATATTCAGTAAATTGTAACCAAACAGCATCAGAAGAATCAAACATTTGTTGGCCTCTCAGAACCTGTAATTTGTATTACCATTTTCCATTAATCCTGCCTTCCACAACAAATTATACCATTCATTCAAATCTGTAAATTTAAAATCTTTCCATTGTGACACTATTACTTTTCTAGCAGCAAATAAAAGATATTAAATTAGCTCCTTATGTTTCATATGTATATTCTTTCCAACCAATACATTGAATAGAAGTGTTCTACTTTAAAAAGAAAAGAAAAAACTAAGGTACATAGAAAGCAGTATCATTGTTAGACGCTAGTTAGGTGACAGAAATTGAGAAGTGCGATCCTCCATTATCAGAAGAGGCTTGTGATGTTCAGGTACAGAAAATTCATCTAAGAAAATTTAATACAAATCAAGTGGAGCTTATTAGTTGTGTGACCTAAAATCATCATAATAACAAAAACTCCATATCAAGCCACGTATAAACTTTATGTGGAGATGCACTGCATCCACATGGCCAATACTGTGAAGAAACCGTTTTTAAAAGAAATATAAAGCTATGCAAAATTACTGATTCCTTTACCTCCCTGATATAGAAAAAAATAATTACCATGCCCTTTGTCTGACCACGGAGCATAAAAATGCAAACACAGTTAAAGGCGAAATCAAAGGAAGGTTTCTGATACGGTGACACAAAGCAGTGATTAAATTTCATATAAAAATGAGGGTTTTATTATACAAGTTCAAGCTGCAGTCTTTCCTGTTTGTACTTTCCTGAGCTCATGTTCCACAGAACACATGGGGCTGACTTCGAAGTAGATCTGCTTGGGATTACAGTGTATTATTTCAGGCAATTCCAAGGAATTGAATAGAATATGTGCAATGTATTTTCAGTTGCCCCCTCCCTGAATCCTTGCTATCTTTTTCATTTTTATTCATCTTTGATTCATTGTAGGGTCTTCAGGGTATTCCAGGACTTCCTGGTCTAGCGGGGCCTACCGGACCTTCTGTAAGTACATGATGCCATCCTTACCAGTGAGCCCAATGAACCCAGATGCTTGCAACTTAACGATTACCCCTCTTGTCTATAAGGCAGGAATATGCAGGATCCTGCCAAGAGGAATGGAACTTGTCCTGCAGCAGTGCTTAGTTGAAGAAAAAAAAACCCCCAGTGCCTGCATTCCTTGATGGTTTAAACAAACAATTGTCAAACATGCTAACAATGCTGAAATTTGAACAAGCAAGATATGGGAGGGGAATAATATCTAGGAAGAGCTATTTCCGTGATAATTGCCATTTGGCTGGTCATGCAGTTCTATAGCTCTAAATTGGCAATTTTATGACACTTAACATCAATTAATGCAACAGAGTGAGAAATCGTTTTGCTTAAAGAGCCAATTGACTGTATCGGAAATAAATTGGTCTTACCATCTATTTCATGTAAACATGCACATTCTGTGTGTGCCTGTCTCTCTGCCTGACCGACTGGGTTTGTGCAACATGACAACCCATCATGGGTAACTAGCCATGCCACACAAACCTGCATAAATAAGCAGGTTATTACATGTAGGCTTATTTGCTGACAACAAGCTGCCCTGGCATCCTATGGCCAGGGATTGTTGTTCCCGTGGTGAGCCATCGTATCATCAAAAGCCAGGCAACTGATCCCATGCAGGGAAATGGCAAGTGAGCGAGAAACCTATGTCACTCTTGCCAAGCTTCCCCAAGCCATTGCCAGAGGCCAGTTAGCACTTCGGAGTGACCATCACTGGTGCCGCTCCCCCCTGTGCTAGACACAACATCTTTTGCCGCAGCTCCCCCCTGCCCAAGCCACCCTGTTTTTTATTTTCCAAAGACAGCTTTTCATTATTTCCAGAGTGACAGCCACTGATAGCCCCTTCACATTGGAATGCTTTTCATTTGTTCACTATCTTATTTTATTTCTGTACCTGAGATCTGCACAAAAGTGTTTGCTACTCATTTTTATTGGATTTTCAGAAGTTCATAGGTGCCACTAATCGGTTAATTTGCTCCCTTGCTTCTATTTTGACCGCTGTGAAATGGTGAACATGCAAACTGTGTGTATTCCTTTCAAAAGACTCATTTTTCAAAGATGTCTGAATTTTGACTGCTGTCAGAACTCTCTGCTCCCATAGATGGGATTGGATGCATTTTTTCTGCTTCCCTGAACACACAGAGACTTGGGAAAGAGTAGAAAGGTGGAGGACACTGGAAACAAACAACAGCATGTCCAACATGTCCAAACAACAACTAGAGGATCTTTCTGGGAAGAGGGTGATATACGCACCACACCTTTTTGCCACAAAGATCACCTTGCAACTCCAGTTCTTACTTGGCAATTTACTGTTTGACAGTGAGCAGCAAAGCTACAAATTAACCTACATGTTGCTTTGCTATGTCAATATCAATGAATGGTGCTTCCTGTGTTTTGTCAGAAGGCACCATCTAGGACCCTAATGAGGGAAAGTCATACCCTTATTTATTTATCACATTTTTATCCTGTACTTTCTGATGAACGACTCAGGACGGCTTACAGTGATTAAAATAGAATATAATAATGCAATAATGCAATAATTAAAACAATAGATAATAGGCCAACATTAAACAAACATTTTCATTAAAACTAAGGAAAAGGAAGAAAAAAGAAAAGAGAATGTGACTGTGGTCAGATCTTAAAACATTCAAAAACCTTAATTATTAAAATGATGGCTAATAAAAAGGTCTTCACCTGACGCCAAAAAGAGTATAAAGTCGGCGCCAGGCAAACCTCTCTGGGAAGCACATTCCATAGTCTGGATGCCACCCTTGGGGTAGTCAGAGTTGCAAATTTGCACAACTCCAGACATATGTATGTATGCATGTATGTATGTATAAATCCATCCATCCATCCATCCCAGAGGCAATTTTTTTTAAAAAAAGGTGATGAACCAGTGACAGCTGCTACAATGTGCTTCTTGGCCACTTTGCAGGAGCTTTCAGTGGTTGTCACTTTAGAGGTGATAAAATGCTTCTCCCCCCAAAAAATCAAAAGGGGAAACGGGAGCCAGAGTGACAACAAAAGTGGTTACACTTGCAGTGGGGAAAAACAACAAGAGGGGTCCTTCCTCTGAGTACCCTAGAGATATGCACAGAAGGACCACAGGGGAAGGAGGAGAGGAAAACCCACGGTGAACCAAATCATCTGTCTGATACACCATGGAACTGTTTCCCAGACAAACCACAGTGTGTAGCTTATTCACAGGTTAAACTGCTCTGTCATGCGAACTAACCCTCTTTCCCTCTCCTTAATAAAGACAAGGTGATAAGAAAGGAACAAAGACATGAGAGTACTGTGATGATGCAAATTAGCTCTCAGCTTCTTGTAACCCTCTGGCCCAAATGTAGCCCTCTAGTTACGTGAATCAATATGAGTTAACTCAAGGTTCCTGTGTAGGACTGCGGGAGGTGGCGGGGAGGCATCTGACCAGTTGATGGGATTTTGCCTTGATGGTTCACAAATAATGCAGGTGGGAACTTGGAAAGAGCGGGGTGATAGTACTCCTCTTCCTCTTTAAGTGCAGTTGTCCCTTTCCTTGCCTTTACTTATTTGTATTCAATACAGCTCAAAGACACTTCAAAAATCTGGATTCCTGGTCCTTTGCTTCCCACTGGTGCCCACAATATGCCTCAGGGGAGGGTTGGGGACCCTCAGGGAGGACCAGTGTTCTGGGGAAGTAGGAAGGAATCAGGTGGAGGAGGGTGGAGGTGGGTTGGGCAAGCCATGCCTCAGTCCTCAAGATAAGCTTTTGCAGAGATGCTTGGGAGGACTATCATGGGGATGAGGGGGTGTTGAATTCTCTTTGGAGGGAGCATCTTTGCTTTCCTGCTGTGCAGGGTGCAACCCACTGTTCTTAATTTAACAAAGTGTAATGAGCAACATTTGAATGTTGCAGTTGACATTTGAGCAACCAGGTTACTATGAGAAGGTGTCAATATCAAGTCACTGTAGATAGCTTTCTGGGGGAGGACATGGAAATGCAATCAGAAACTCGCCCACTAAGTTATTTAGAACTGTTTCACACACTATAGGCATATCACTAGGATGCAGCCGTTGTTATCAAAAGTATAACAGCAACAAGTGCCTTAGTTACAGCTAGACTGGACTATTGCAATGTTCTCTTCATAGACCTACCTTTGAGCACTTTTTGAAATGTCAAATGGTTAGAAATGAGAAAACAAGGATGTTGGTGAGCAGGCGCTCATATTTCACCTACCCTGCTATGCCTGCCTTGGTTCCCAGTTTGCCTTTGGGCAGAATTACTTTAGAAAACCAAATGACTTACAGGTTCTGGATACCTCAAGAGAGATGGGACTATCAGGCCCAGCAGAGGGGATACCAATCTTGTAGGTCCCTCCTTACTATTTGGGTGTACGGCAGGTATGTTAGCTCCTGAGCTAGCCTGGGGCCAGCATACCCCAGTATCCATAATGGGAACCTCACTTGGTGTGCTATAGCTCTTACACCTCCCAAATGCATCTGTACCAGTGCCTGTATCCTCCCAGACAAGAGGCTGTGGCAAAGGGGATGAAGACACAAGAGTATTATAAAAGATGCTGGTACGAGGAAAACAAAATCTCCACTGTACCCACTCAAATTACAACAATTGGGTAAAATTTCTCCCTGGCTTCCTAAACTGGTGGCTGACTAAGATTAATTAAAATACTTCAAATTAAGTATTACACAGTATTTATAGTCATATTTTTTACAAATATGAATCAATCTTCTGCATTGCAGGGAGCAGTCGGAAGACCAGGACATCCAGGCCCAGCAGGAGCAAAGGGTGAAAAGGTATGTCATTCTGTGATGTAGTGGTTATACACCTACAAGCGGATTGAACTTCTTTTTCTCAAAGCCAATTAAATGAAAAATTTCCAGTGCAGACTGAAATCTGCTTTGCTACAAATTCTGAAGTTTTTGGAAATGTCAAGTATCTAAGTTTCAGTAAAACAGTTTGAAAATTATACTGCACATAAATACATCTGTTACTCTGGTTTTACCTAGTTAAAGGCACAGATTATTTTTGCCAAATAGCTATTTTACTGTGCAAGTTGAGAATTAAGAGTAATCATTGCAGCTTATCCTGTTTTACTGTGTCATCCTGCCATGTATAGTGCCACTAGGGAGTTGATAAAATATGGGGTTGTCTGCATCTTTAAGGCCACAATAAATATTTGGGGTGACAGCCACTTAATTTGTACAGGATTGTTTTTATTGCTTACATCTGAAACAATGAAAGGACCATAGCTCAAAGAGAGAGTGAGAAAGAAAGAGAGAGAGAGCTCAGTCTTTGACCCCAAGAAAGTCCTAGGTTAGACACATAGGAAGCTGCCTAATATGGAGGCAGCCAATGTAGTATAGACATGGACCAGCAGCAGGGCTCCAAAGTTTCAGGCAGAAATGTTTCCTAGCCCACCCTGGGGAAGCCAGGAATTGAGGCCAGGGCCTTGTAATTAAAGGCCAGGGCCTTGCAGTTAAAGGCTGCAGTTAAAGCCAGAAACCCTCAAACTTACACAGTACATGGTCAAAGGTTTTGACTTAGTATAAGGTGAACATGACAGCCAACTTGGACTCTTGCCCTACCCATTCACAAGAAAGTTTTTTGATGAATAGCTGTGATACTTACGATAAGGACAGGAAAGTTTACAGTGGAGATGCCTTCCTAGTCTCAGAGGCCAGAAGATTTCCCTAGAACCATTTTTAACTCGTGTGTGTTCAGTCACCCAAGGTGACTGCTATCCTGGACCCTGTTTGGCCTCATTTCTCCATCCTTGCCTTGTACCACTTTCTGTGAATATCACCCGTGGTAAATGTGGTTTCTTCCAGTCGATTTTTCAGAGAAGCAAACCAGACAATTGCAGGAACTTTGATTTTCCCACATACTCTGTTCAGCAGTCCTCCTTGCTGAAGCTCCTTGTTCCAGACACTCATTCATGTATAATAATTGAACCATTTCATCAACATGTTGCGAAAAGCCAAAATTAGAGACCTCAGGTAGGTATGCCAACATCATTCACTGCGGGGGGAGTAAAGGAATTTGCCAGAATCATAGCTTTCGAGTGTTCTGAAGGGTTTGATATGAGCGGCAGCCTGTAGCTCCCACAACCCATCTGTGGGTCTAAACCTTACATTCGGGAGCTGGAACATAATACAGCAGAAGTGCTCACCCACCACAGTCTGCTTGATGCTAATAGATGAATCACCATCACAGGAACATGCTCCAGGAAAAAAAATGAACCTTCTGTTCTTGCGTGATACGCTGCCAAGAGAATTTGTCCATGTAAAGTGCATGTAAAGAAAACAATCTTTCTTGATTGTTTGGTTGGTTTCCTTTTTTGCAAACCTCTCTGGGCTTCAGTTCAAATGAGAAGTGACACATAAACACAGTTAATAAATAATAATGAAATCTGTGGCATTAAGGAAAAAGTCACAGCATGGTCTTCAAGGGCATGTTCCCATTTTTTTCCCAGTCTTATTCCTCTCTGTAAGAACCTGTCAGCCAAATTCTGTGTTACATCCTGAAGCAGGTAGTGATAGTTCCTCACAGCCCATGCTAAGGGCTGTCCTTATGCACATGCACCTTAGATCTACTGGAATGATCTTGCAAGTGAAGAATAGGAGCATCTGCAGGCCTTCAAGTTTAACCACAGTGTTCCACCGGCTGGAAGGAATGCTGTTTTGTGTTTAGCCAACAGCATTGTATTGCCTAGAAAAGTCTCGGCAGAGTGCAATTCATACAAAAATTCGCCTTTTAACTTGTCATACAGAAGATACTAATAAGTGTACACGTACTTTATGCCACATCTGTTCAAATGAACTCATTTCTGCCACAGAAGAACAGTGAGCTGCAAATGTTTGCCATTACATTCTCTGTTGTAGCCCAGTGGCTGCAAATCAAAAGAGGTCCCCAGCAGATTCACTTCTGTGTACTCACTCAGCTGTCTTTGGTAGCCTAACTTATGTGAGGTATTGTGAGATTGCAAGAAGCTGTTGTTTGTGAACAGTTTGCAATACTAGAACTATATAAATAAATATATGTAGTGTTTTGGATCCAGAGATCTTGTGTGTAGGATTCCACTCAAGCAATTCCCCCCTCTTGCTCATTTTCCCTCCTTGTCCTCTGGACCAGTACAAAAAGTGGTGCAAAGCCTGCAGGAGGAAGGGGGGACTAGGAAAAATTGGCTTTACTTTCTTTCTGTGAGTGGCCTGTGCTGGAACTCAGGTCTTCTACAACTAGAGGAGTTCTTCCATTTGCGGGAGGGTTACTCCGGATCCCAGAGAGTGACTTGGAGGATTAAATGATGATGCCAGTTTTTATTGATGAAGTAGTCAGTGTGTCCGCCTTTGTATCGCATGGCATAGGCATTCACAGTCTGTTGTTCTTGTGGTCCAGGGGAATGACGGTGCTCCCGGAAAGCCTGGACCTCCTGGGCCATCTGTAAGTGCACTGCATGACGCTGCCGGGGTCTGGGCTGCTAAAGGTGTTTGGAAGCATGTCCCATGGATTCTGGTGGAACAGATTTCCATGGGAGCACGCTGAAGCTTGCAGCATGCGTGGTTTATTTTGGCCTGAACTGCTGCATCAGGGATGCAGGGCTTCCTTCAGCTGGAGGGCCAAACTACATTTTGGAGAAGCTTTTGGGGGGTGGGGGGTTGAGTGGTGGGCAGAGCTAAACGGGCAGATGGGGCAGACAGAAACACCACTCATACTAGTACGTTGTAGGTAACAGCGGTTAGTGCCAGGGACTCAGCCTTCGGAGGGACATTCCAGTCTTGCAGAATGGGAGTGGAATTATACAAAAATGGAGAAGTCACCAAATGGAAAAAGCGGGGAGGAATCAGGATGGCCTTCTGGGGGCCTTCAGGGGGACAGACTGGGACCCCTGGCTGGAGGCTCTGCATCCCTGTGCGGTGGGCATGCTTCTGTCCTCATGCTGTTGCACCAGGGAGAACCATGTTTGCATTTTTGCTTTATAGGAAGTTAAAGCTCGTTCTGAATTTTAGCTTTGCTGACAAGGCTCTTCCATTTTTCAGGGTGTGCCATACAATGAAAGAAATGGCATGAGCAGCCTATATAAACTGCAGGTATTTAACATTCTGTAAACCGGGATTCTGCTGTTATGCTCATTTTGCATGAATTCAAATGCAGTGTTTTCCCCACTGCAGGGCGGTGCCAACGTTGCCACTTATGCTGGTCCACCTGGGGCTCCTGTAAGTAACTCATCATTCTCTATCACATGTGCAGCACCAGCAGCATCACACTGCTTTGCATTTATATCCCACCTTTTCTGCTCAAGGCAGCTTTCATCACAACCCTGTGGGAAAGGTTAGGCTAGCGGGAGTGGCTGGCCCAAAGTGACTGGCTTCATGGCCAAGTGGGGATCTCTCAGGTTTGCAGTCCAATACTTTACCCTCCACACCACACCAGTTCTCATTGCACTGAGTCCCAGAAGTTGCACTCTCTCTCCTCATCCCTTCCTTAGAGCAATCCTGCTGTAAGGAAGCTAGCCATTTTCATTTTGCACAAGATACGCACTAGTACAGTGGTACCTTGGCTCACGAACGCCTTGGTTCATGAACAAATCGGGTCACGAACAAACATTTCTGAAAAATTTTGACTTGGGTCGCGAACACTGCTTTGAGTGGCGACCAAGATTGCAGCCATCTCCCCGCCCGCCCCAGGGGGAAGATGGCCACGATCGCAGTTCCATTTGTGCAGGGAAGGCGTGTGTGATCAGAGGCACGCTGCTGCAGGAAAGACAGGAGCAGTAAAGCCGAGCCATAGGGGAGATGGCCGAGACTGCGCCCATCTTTCCTGCAGGAGTGTGCTTCTGATCAGGCACGCCTTCCCTGCATGAATGGAACTGTGATTGCGGCCATCTCCCCAGCCCCAGCGCACCGTTTGCGCCCATCTCTCCCTCCCCCAGTGTGCCTGTGATCATGCCCATCTCTCCCCCCGACCCCCCAACGTGCTGGGATGACGGATGCCTGCAGGGATGACAGGCACAATCTCAGCCATGCTGGGGGAGGGGGGGCAGGGAGATGGCCGTGCTTGTGCCTGGGGGGGGGGGGAGATGGCCGCGATCTTTGTTGTTGTCATGTTGTCACTTTGCTTCACATTTTTTTAATTAAAAAATGGTTACAGAATGGATTAACCTTATTTACATCGAACGTTATGGGGAAATTTAACTTGGCTCATGACCAATTTGGGTCACGACCAGAGTCCTGCAACGGATTAAGTTCATGAGCCAAGATACCACTGTAATTTTGTACGTTGATAGTTGCTTTCATTGGACTTCAGTGTGACTTCTGGAAAAAAATATGTTCTTATTATCTTTGGGCTCCTGTTTGAAGGAATGGTGAGGTCATTTGTTTCATAACGATCAGGATTGTGATAAGCAAAGAGTAAGATGTGACAAGCATGTTCAGTCTGGGAATGAAAAGAAAAGGATGTTTATACAAAAGTAGAGTATGACTGCACTTTAGAATATTGTGTACAGGCCTGGTCACCTCTCCTCAAACAGGGTGTTTTATGTAAGAGACATTCAAGGAGAATCATGCCGTGAGTGGCTATTAGTCTTGATGACTAAACACCTCCTCCAGTATCAGAACATGCATGCCCTTTAGCACCAGTTGCTGTGAATTGTGTTACTTCATGCTCAGCACAGCAAAGAAGTAAGATACAAATGTAACAAATACATATTTGTGAGATATTTCTGTGTCTTTTTCAGGGCCCCAAAGGCGACCCTGGAGCAGTGGTATGTAACTGGTTAGAATGCGACGTAAATGTTCTGTAGCATGGGAAGATCAGTTGTTGCTCAGCATTCCTTCTACCTGCCATTTTCAGAATTATTTTCTAATATAACTTATAATATTGGAATTCTATTCCTATTAGGGCAGTAAGTCTTGAGTTTGTTTAGTTAATGAGATGTATTGAATGCTTAGCATTTTAACTACGGTTTCTCAGAGACCCAACACAGGAAATATGTATGAGTGACTATCTGGCAAGGCTGTTTCAAAACTGTGTTTGACCTAATGGGGAGGCCAGTGAGTGACATTTCCCGGGTTCTTCAAAGCACCCAGCTTATCCAAATGAAATCCCCATTGCAGGATAGTTTCCATGGATCATCAGTCCTGCTGCAGCCTCCCACTGCTCCCCTCCTGATTGCTGCCCTCACCCATCCCTCTCTGGGCATGTAGGCAGTGAGGGTGGCACCACCACCAGCCTTCTGCTCTTCATCTGAGCGGCAGTGCAGGCTGCAGCCAAAGCGAGAGAGCAGGCCAACGGATTGTGGTAATTGTGTGAGGAGGTGGGCCCACTTGAGGACAAGGAGCCAATCTGTGTATCTTGCCAAGGATATAGTTATCTTGCCAAGGATATAGTTAGTGCTGGACACATTTGCCAGCACTAACTATATGGAATACTCCTGCAAATCTCCAAGCTTCCATAATATAATGGTTTGTGGCTGTTTTGTTTGGTTTTGTTTGAGAAATGCTGACAAGATTCCAGAAATACTTCTAGTACTGTTCTCCAGTTGACATTATGTACACTCTCAAAAGTCTGCTTATTACCACACGGGTAGATAAATCTGTGTTCATGCTGTACTACTACAGACTGCAGGAAAAAGCACTCATTGCTGAAAATTCCATACCAAAATAATAATAACAAGCAAATAAATAATAACATGTAGAAAGTTGGTTTGCAAGAGACCACTAGACTAGAACTCTTCCCCTAAACTTCTAGTTTTCTGCATGGAAGTATAAGAGCCCCACTTGCATTCTGCAACCCCAGTCCAGAACAGGCTTAAAACTGTGAGTAGTAGGCTTCTGTCATTGGACTGACTGGGTAAGAGCTGACCTTGAGGAGGCCCATGCATCCAAGGATCCTCCATCCCTGGCTAGAATTTTTGATCAAAACTAATATTTCCATTCAGAAACTAAACACATTCTGAATCTGGCAGCAAGTTTCATTCCCAAGCCATTAAAATATCCATTGGCTTTATTTATGGAAGATGTAACCATCTAAAGCAATAATCTTTCTTTCTTTCTTTCCTTCCTTCCTTCCTTCCTTCCTTCCTTCCTTCCTTCCTTCTTTCTTTCTTTCTTTCTTTCTTTCTTTCTTTCTTTCAAGGGTGAACCAGGGCCAATGGGACTACCAGGACTAGAAGGACTTGCTGGAGAAAAGGTAGGATTTCAATAAAGGTAGGATTTCAATAATGTTGGAATCCCCCTGCAGTTGTTGGAGCATTTTGCTTTAGCTTCCTTTCAGGAAGCTCATGCCAAAAGCTGCTGGTGGTGGCTGCTGGTCTGTCTTCCCATTTTGGGTGTCCATATTTTAGAGGGCATCCAACCATAACAGAGTTGCTATTGCTGAGACCACCAGGTGTTTTTCACATGAGGTGAATTGTGAGGAATGAATTAGGCCACTAGTTCACCCTCTATCAGCAAATACTTGCCAGGGTGGGAATGGCCAGGGCCACGAATTCAGCTCAGGTCCCACTATGATTACAGTGCAGGGGAGCTGAAGTCCACAGCTCGCCCATGAGTGTTCTGTGTTCAGCTGAAATCATTTTGGTAGACCGTGGATTTCATTGAAAACAAGCCAGGGAGGCAAGCAGGGTGCATCATGCTAAGGGTACTCTTGCAGTGTATTTAATCATACTGCAAATGTAATGACAGAAAAATGCAGCCTAAGGCCTGTGCAGTGAACTCAGTCAGCTTCAGAAAGAGAGTCCTGTCAGAACTGGCTGTTTCCTGAAGGCTTCTGAGTGTTCCTCTTCTTAGTTTTCCTAGAGGAGTGTCAGACTTCAGGCCTCTCCCCACTCAGCACTAGAATATGCCCCCTGGACAGTTTATCCAAAGCTGGAAGATGTTCACCTTCCCCATGTAGAACCTTTAGTGGACAAGGGCTTCACACTCTACCAGCACTATAGTAAGAGTCTGCAGTCCCAAAGCTCTATTTTTCAGGCAATAGAAATCCCATGCGGCGCAACAGAATAAATAGGTGTGCCCTGTCATGCTTAAGCAGTCATAGAAGTTCTCTGAATGGTGGTCATATGGGTAATGTGTGAAGCAAATTGCCTTATCCTAAGAGCCGCTGTTTAAAATGTCTGGCAGGAGCAAAATACACAGATAAGAATCCTTTTGTGGGTGGAGGGCAGGAGGTTAATTCTAATCAGAAAGCTCCTCAAGCTGACTTGAGAAGTGAAAGAAGGCTCAAAATCTTCTGACCATCGAGCAAGGTGTGCTTGAGCTCATTGATTCACTTCAGCCTGTTGTCGAGGGTGTCATTTGCCTATAGGGAAATTGTGCAGGCCACGCAGTGTGCCAGTGGGATTCTTCAGCTAATAATTCTCAGGCCTTCTTCCCTTTGATAGTCTCTCAAACTCTTTATCTGGTCTTTGTCCTTGTGAACAAATTTCCTGTGTGCCTGAGAGCAAAACTATATGAAGCTGATTGGTGGAAGGTTTAGGACAAATAAAAGGAAGTGTTTCTTCATGCAATGCAAACTATAGCATTTACTGCAGTGGGAATTGGTGATGACCACCAGTTTGGATGGCTTTGAAAAGGGATTGGAGAGACTCATGAGGGAGGAGGCTCTCAGTGGCTGCTAGCCCTGCTGCCTGAGTGCTTCCTACTTTAACAGGGGTGGCCTGCCTGCCTAGCCCAGTGGCTGAGGAGCTTAGGTGGGCAGAGGTCTTGCCTCATTCTGTTTAAGGGATTCTGTGGCCAGCTGGCTTGCCAACTTGTGCACAGAATGCCAGATCTTTGATCTGCACCAGCATGGCTTTTCTTATGTTCTGATGTCCTTATGTTCTTGCTACAAAGCAATATCTCTTTCTTAGGGAGATCGGGGACCAGCAGGTCCTCCAGGAGTACCAGGGATACCTGTAAGTATGCCACCAAAGATGCTGTTTTCATCGTGAAAAAGTAGTGTTAGTCGCAGTACATGGAATTATGGTCAGCTTCTAGAGAAGGCCAAGCCATCACAGAGTTGGTCCAGCTGAGCTGTCCCATCCCCACCAAAGGCCCTGCAGGGAGGGCTCCAGGAAAGAAGAAAGCAGGCAGCTACAGGTCATCTTGGGTGTCCCTCCATCCACAGGTGTCCCTTCCTCCCATTCACTGCCACATGGGGTGGGCCCTTATGGGATGTTCCTCTTAGCATCCTTTTATAATGGTTTTAATTAACATACTGTTGGTAAGCAGCTTTTTAGTATCCCTGTTGGATTGGATGAGTTTTTGTAATCAACATTTCAAATGCCTCTGAAGGGCTTTTAATTGAGAAAGCATTCATTATCATAATGGTTTCTAACTCATTAAATCAGCTTTAATTGTGGGGTAGACTAAATTATTTATATTTTAAGCAGTTTTCTTAATGTCCGCAGGGAAAGAACGGTGCTCCAGGGCCACCGGGGATCCCTGGAGAACCAGTAAGTGCACTTACATTTCAGCACCCACTTGCTGTATTAGCATTCTGCTGGCTCTCAGCCACTACAGCTATTGAATTATTACGTTTCCTTTAGGGTGAGAGGGGTCCCATTGGAGACATTGGTTTTCCTGGGCCGGAAGGACCACCCGGAATACCAGTAAGCAATTTACCAATGAAGTCTAAATTACCAGCACTTACTATAATTAATGTTCATTTCTTTGGAACAGACATACATAGGATGGCATGGTAAAAATGCTAAATGCCTCGCAGAGTGAATCAGCCTGTGCCTAGTGCCAAAGAGAAAAAGAGGGCACATGCCAGGCAAGACTGTCTGGAGGGGTGTGGGGGAGCTCATGCATTTCAGCTTGGCTGGCAAGCGTCTGGGAAGGAAATCCAGTGCAGTCCGTCCCAGTGCATGTGTGGTTATCCCCTGAAGATTCCAGGCCCCAAGCTATGTGAAACTTTAATTTCTCCACCAACAACGTTTTGAATTATGTTCAGTAATGGGATACAGTGGAACTTAACTTTTGTGCACATAATGAATGCTGAGGGAGCATGATGTTCAAAGGAATTAGAAGGATTCTTGGGTCTTTTGACAATGTCTTTAATATAAAAAAAACTTTGCATAGTTTTAATATACTATATTGTATTAAATGGGACTGCAGGTGGCGCAGTGGTTTAAACCTCTGTGCTGCTGGGCTGGTAGATCGAAAGGTCGCCGGTTCGAATCTGCACAACTGGGTGAGTTCCCGTTGCTCCGTCCCAGCTCCTGCCAACCTTGCAGTTCGAAAGCATGCAAATGCAAGTAGATGAAAAGGTACCACTTCGTTGGGCAAGTAACAGCGTTCCGTGCACTTTGGTGTTTAGTCATGCCGGCCACATGACCACGGAGACTGTCTGCGGACAAACGCTGGCTCCCTCGGCTAGGAAACGGAGATGAGCACCGCCCCCTAGAGTCAGGCATGAATGACTTAACGTCAAGGGAAAACCTTTACCTTTATTGTATTAAATAATTTATAATATAATATGTTAAAACCTTGCATACCCCATCTTATGTGATAATAGTTTGAGTATATATTTACTATAGGTTTATAGATATTTTACTAACATTTATTCCTCTGAACCATTGATTTGTACTGATGCTTTGTGCTTGAGCTTCAGGACAGAGAGAAAGCCAAGCTAGGTGACCTCACAGAAGCTATGAAGCTTATTAAGTGGCCATTGGGAAGTTACACTTTGTCTCTCTCTCTCTCTCTCTGAGCTGCTTCACACAGTTGTTTTGAGGCTTAAAAGCAGCCCTGCATGTAAATAAATCACAGCCACTATATTTAATCACCTTGCTAGTCCAGTTTTTGCAGATATTTTCCTGCGGGCTTTATAGCTGTGTATGGCTAATCCTAGAGTTTTACTAAGAGACACACAGTTCACCCCACAATTTTCATCATAAGATATGCATTGCTTGTAATGTAGGTGACCAGAAGCTTTTTGTAATAACTGAATCATTTATTTTAGGGCATAAATGGGAAGAGTGGATTGCCTGGTCCTCAGGTAGGAAAGCAGTGCTTTGAGCATTCTCAGTTATCTGCAAATATTATTTGTTCACTTTTGTCCATAGTGGAAAATTCATAATTAAACTATTTTGACAAGATGCTTGTCTTCTTAACATCCTTTTTGTCCCCTTTTCCAGGGTTTAGCAGGTAAAGCTGGTGACAGGGGCCCCAAAGGAGAACGAGTAAGCTGTACTTGTACATAGAAGTTTGATTACGTTTTAAGATCATTATCACATTTGTCTTGCATAATTCTAACTTGTGATCCTGCAGCCTTCTTAGGGATTGCTCTTGGCCAAAGCAGCCTGGTGCCCTGTGGCCATTCTTCTCCCTACTCCTTCTAGGCAATTCACGACAAAGGCTTTCCAACTAAGAAGCTTCATTCTGTTAAGGCTGACCAACTAGACTGGCTTTGTAGTACAAAAGAAGAGTATTCCAGAAGTCAATAACAAAAAGTTAGAATGCTAGCTATGAGGGCAATGAACTGAAAGAGCGACCATACCTGCAAGGTGCATCCTCCTGACTAAGGGCCAATTGCTTGGAGTATCTCACACTTCTCGAATGGTCCAGCCTCTTAACCTGTCACCCTGTTCTCAGACTGATGGTGGCCTCCCTCCCTCCACATTAGCATACTCTCTAAACTTTCCCACAGAATTTGAAACTGTCTGATTCTCGTTGGCAGTGTGGTTCACTGGCCTTGATGTTTCAGCTGTGGATTCTGAATTTTATTCCTTGTCTGAGTTCGAATCTGTACCCACTACCTCTGAAGGTTCTTCTCTAGGAGAAGCAGGACCAATTCCAATGCCTTTATTTGAAAGGACTGGCAGGAAGAATGTTTACAAAGTCACTACATATTCTGTAAAGGCTCTTTCATTATTGAATCTGCCATACTTGCATGTACCTTTTCCTCAGCAAGTTCAACACCCTTAAAATTCTCTGTGCGTGTATTTCATATTCTTACTATAAAATGAGTCCTGCTTGTGCTGCTGCAACACAATCATGAATTCATGCATTTCCATTATAAGTGGCCTCTATTCTAAAACAGGTAGCAATATCTTGAATTATAATATATCTTTGCAGCTTCTCTGAATTCGTTAGTAATTTGGGATAAGTGAATGTGAATTTGTATTACATGTTCAGTAATGACTATATAAACTGCAGTCAGAATCTGTTGTAGATTCAGTTGGGCCACCACTCCATCAACAGTTACAGAGCTCTTGCAACTGAAGTATTAATTTTGGTTAGTAGCAAACATGAATCTTTTGGAAAGCAAACAGATTCAGAGGTGAAATCAGTTGAGAGAAAGTTCAGCCTGTAGTCTTTATCTTTCTCTCTTCCTTTTTTACCGCATGAATAATTTTACCCTAAGTTTAACCATCAAACATTTTATCAGATCAATGTGCAGCATACATTTTTTGGAACAGTCCCTTCCACCACATACCCACTTTAAATTCAGGACTCCAGAGCTGTTTACTTTCTCTTTTCCATTCTTCTTTACTGTACACAGTCTAGAACTATGGTGACGCAAGAGCTGCTTGTGACATTCTTGTTTCTCAAAATAGCAATCCTATACATACAGTCTTTACTTAAGACGGGTCATCTTCCTTTCTTAGATGTAAGTCATCCTGAGTCCAATGGGGTCTACTCCCAAGTGAGTGAGTCTAGGATTGCAACCCAAAGTCCAAATGCATGTTCATACAGCTTAGTACAAGCATAACAGCAATCATTATGCCCCATTTGTCAAATTTCATTATTTTCTACCGAAGAAAATGAGCAAGTAGGCATGCCTATGAAAATTACCTATCTAGTATTGTATTTCTTCTTATTTCTAAGAAATTTAAACTTTACAAGATATTTCCTATGTCAGTTTCCTTTAGTACAAAATACCTCGGACAACCAAGGCTGAACAGAATCAATCCTGAATAATATTCTTCACTCAAAGTTCTACCCCTTAAACCCACACTATTACCTATTTATTTATAGCCTAACTTTTTTCCTTTAAAGGAACTCAAGGTAGCTTACATATTTCTATGGGTTACTTTTGCCTTGTGTTGAAAAGAGAACAATGTTGGAGGCTGCCAAATTTCTTTGTTCCATAAATGGGGGCAGCCACCAAGAAGGCCCTTCTTCTATTGCTAGCCCTTTCACCTCCTTGAGGGATGGTTCTTTAGAAGGACCTCCTGCCCAGATCTTAATGGATGGGTAGGTATGTACAGGAGACAAGATGAAAATTTCCTCACACATGGCCAGGTTAGGGTTGCCAATTAATCCCCCACCACCACAAAAAATAATACAATAAAATAAAATGCCTGTGCCTATTCTTTGAATGGTAGCTTGTTAGACAGAAAGCAAGACCTGTACACCAAGCTGCTCTTAAAGGCATGGCAACATAGGGTAATTGAACAGATGGCAGTCAAAACCACATCATACTGGTCACTGGCTCCTCCAGTGGTAGTATGTGGTTCGTGGTGGGCTAACAAGCAGCCATCACGTGGTAGGAAGAGTCATCTCTATCTTTGTACTCAAGAAGTGAAGCAAATTCCTTTATGTACATTGCCTTCACAGTCAAAATTCTACAGTTGTGCCACTCACCATGCCTGACTTAAGTCCCATTTATTTCAATGGGCCCACCCCAAGTAGGGACTGTCCCATGGTGATTTCCCTTCAAACTGCACTGTATTCAGTGCTATCTCCAGTCACATCAAATACTGATCAGAAGAGGCCTTCATGAGCAGAAAGGGACGGGAGATGTTTTGCAATTCCTTTCTTTTGCAGGCCTCCCCACAACACAGGCCATACTGCTCTGAACCTCCTGCTCTGATAAAATTTGTGGGGTTGCAGAGAGAAGGGAGAGTCAGTGAATAAGCATCTCCTTCCCCCTTCATTCATGGAAGTTTCTGTTGGATCAAAGCACCTTCAGCAAACAGAAGAACAGCACTGGAGGCAACCCCTTTCTTCCTGAATAGTTTATTTGCTCATACCTGAATAAGGGCCAAAAGAGCCATTACATAGCTCCTTGGCTTTTAGGGATTCAGGTTCTGTGTTGCTTGTCTTTGTCAGATTCCTGAAACATGTTTGTATACTTAGCCTATAGACCTTATATTGCTAGGATGATTTTTCCCACACACATTTCCTCTGACCTCTTGTGCCATCACTGCAGAAGCAAGTACATTTTTAAAGTAGGTACTATGTGGTGGAAGCTGTTCCTTTTCTAAAAGCCAGTGCCTGTCATCATTGCTCTGAATCCTTAACTTCAATGCCCTCTATTCATACATTTTGCAGAGCTCAAGTGTGAAAACAGAAGCATTTGTTGTTGCTGCTGTTGTTTATCACAGTATTCCCTGTGCGATGCCTTTGCACATTGCACTAAGGTCAATGGAACAGTTGCTAGTGCTCCTGACTGTGCTTTCAACAGATTCAAACGATAAAGGGTCAAACAAGCTGACGTGACTGAAGATCTTGTTTGCTTCCACCAGGGGGACCAAGGTATACCAGGAGACAGGGGCCCACAAGGCGAAAGAGGAAGGCCTGGCTTACCAGGAGACAAAGGCTCTGAAGGCCCTGTGGGGCCCATGGGCAGCAGAGGCAACCCAGGATCGCCAGGTCTTAAAGGCCCTCCCGGAGCACCAGGCGTTCCAGGCTTGTCGGTAAGGTGAACTGGCTGTTGAAGGAGCCTTAGAGAAAGGAGCGATTCTCCATCTGAGTGAATTATGCTAATTTTACTGTCACTGCATTTTCCTTCCTCACACTGCATAATATTTACAAATGTTTGTACTGTTAGGCAGCCACTAAATAGATACTGGAAAACAGTTCTGCTTGCCTTGCTCATTTTCATGCCAAGAGCATCTCTCTTAATCTTTTTTTCTTTTCTTTTTTAAATATCTTCATCAGGCGGACTCAGTTTCATTTGAAGAAATGAAAAAGTATATCCGGCAAGAGGTTCTTAGAGTTTTTGAAGGTGAGGAATGCATAATTGGAAATCCTTTTACACCTGTTGCAAATGTTCGCTTTGATTTCTGCTTCTTGTACCTGTTGTATGTAACATGTGAAACTATTTCCACCATGTTTACTTCACTTATCCAAGCAGATTAAATAGAGGCCTGAGGCAGGCAGATTCTTCATATGCTAATAGCTTGTAGATGGTTCCAAAGTAATTTTTGTTTGACATTCAGAAGACCTTCACATTAACTGTGATCATAACAATGGAATCAGAAAGGACCTAGAAAATTGCTATAAAGCATGTACACAACATCAGCGCGACTAAACCCAAGCTCTGTGGTTCCAGTACACTTTCCCACACAGCAGTCCCGGGCAGACAGTGAAAATCAGGGGTTTATTGAGCACTTGGCAGGCTGCATTAAGCATGGAGGAGTGGCCTAAATTGTGCCCTGCACTGTGGTTAACAAGTATCTGCGTGGCCAACTGAAATCAGCTTAGGGATCACTCAATGTACCTGGCTTTCTTAGCTGACACGATTGTGCACTTCCCATGTTCCAGCAGCCCTCCCTCATCAGCGAACTAACAGAACATAGTCTCAATGGTCGTGTTGACCGAGCAGAGGGAGGTACGTGGAAGGTGTGCACAGGCATCCCATCCTTAGTTTAACATTTAAACTACTTCTACACTGTCACTGCAAGGCTGCTTGCAGAGATAGAAATACGCAGAACAACCTCAAACTGACTGTGCTGATAGAGCAGCCACAGCAAAGTGCCAACATATCTCCACCTGGCAGCAGACTTCTGCGAGAGGTGCTGCTGAGCAATCCTTGCCTTTGAACCTTGCCTGTAGCCTCCCCTCCTCAGCCTCTCCTAACCCACACAGCAATTAGACTTACCAAAAATAAATAATTCCTAATTGCCGCATACCATGATCAGTGGGGAGGAGAGAAGAGAAGAAGAAAGGTGAGGGGGTGGGAAGAGGGTGTGTGTGTGAGAGAGACAGAGAGGTTCCTGAAAAAAATGGGTGACTCACTGCTGGCTTCACCCACCCTCTTTTGGCTTCAGCATCACCCATCACTGGCTCCATTCCCACCCACCCTGATCTGTGGACCCTAACAGAGCTTTCCTGGAAGAATCCTCTGCTTGAAAAAAGATTCTCCTCTTCTGCCCTCGCTCAGAGATTTGCCTAGAGTCAGGTTTTTACCACTTGCCAAAGCCAGGTGGAGACAAGGTTTTTCATTGGGTGACCACCCTGCCTTATCCACAAGGTCCAAACAAAGTTGCCTTCCTTTTTTTGTAATCCTCCCTTCCTTTCCCATCATTTATTCCAATTTTTTTCCTCACTAAAATAAATACATACATAAAACTGTAAGGGGGAAAAAAGGATGGAATAGCTGTGCAGTGCCTTTTGATTGGTAGCATTAGGAGCCCTCCAAGTTAGACAGGCCTCCCTCAGAAGGCTATGCCAAAGGAGCGGTGCCATCACTAAGAAAAACCCTGTCCCTTCTGCCTACCTGCCTCACTTCTGAAGGTAGGTAGCACAGATCAGAGTTTTTCTGGACCTGGGTGTGCCATCCACATGCAGAAGAATACTTCAGCCCCAGATCACGACTGCAGAAGATTTACAGAACTTTACTGTCAACACTTAAGACACTGAAATTATGAAAGTTTTGCACAGCACTGTTCAGTCATCACTTCAAAGGGAGACTGCAGCCAAGAATTCAAAGAATGAGACTTGAAAGAGCAGCAACAAAGGAACTAGGAAAGATCATCAAATCTAAGGATGTTTCACTGGCGACCAAGGCCAAGATTGCCCACACTGTTGTATTCCTGATCACTATGTATGACTGAAAGCTGGACAGTGAAGGATGCTGGCAGGAAGAAAAGTGATGCTTTAAAAACAGAGCAAAACCCGTGCTGGAAGAGAGCTTGGCCAATTCCCTGGAGTGACAAAAAGATAAACAAGTGGGTCCCAGACCAAAACTAGCCAGAAGCAAGAATGACAAATCTGAAACTGTACTTTGGGCACATCAGCAGAAGGCAAGACTCACTGAAATGGAAAGTCAAAGGCAGCAGTAGATGGAGAAGACTGAATATGGGACGCATAAAGGCACCTTACGTTTCCAAGAGCTGAGCAGGGCTGTGAAGGAAGGACATTTTGGAGGACTTTCATCATTCAGTGGGTCACCATAAGTCAGACATAACTTGATTGCATGAAAGAAGCAGTTTAAATTGAACCTTTTTTTCAATCAAAGCAATAATATTCATAGCAATAACGTGATTTAGTTATTTATTTTAAATTTCTTATATACTGTCTGATTATTATAAAATCTCAAAGTGGTTTACATAAAAAGCCAAAAATGTAAATATATGTGCTGTATGCTATATATTAATGCTACATGTTCTATGCAACATAGAGTCTGTCTGCAACAGTAGGATCAGTTAAAGTGTCTGAACTGCCTTCAACCATAACCCCAGACAGGCCATTTCATAGTAGGTCGGGATGGGTGCTACCAGGGTAGAAATGACTATTGCCTGGTCCGCCTCCTCCAGGAAGGGATACTGCTAGAGCACCAGCCTAACCTGGCAAAAGGTACGCATGCAAATATGCACACAGATATGCACCTTTATGGCCTCGTCAAGCTGTATGATTCTTGGATCCAAAGGTGCACCTCACCACTGCTGCCACTTAAGCACCCAGACAGGAAGTTGGAGCCAGGAGCAGCCTAAGAGGCAAGCCTGACCATAAAAGAGGGAGTTCAGTCTCTCCCAGAAGAGGACACACCTGTTTCTGAGTCAGGTCGAAGTGCTACTTTCGACTTGCCTCTTTGTTCACCCACAACCAGTTCTGTTCAGCAGTTCGGATGGAAAAGGGTGATAAGCGGCCAGGTGTGGTGCTTGTGTGTGTGTCTTTATGCATGCTGTGAGTCAGATGCAGGATGGGTCAGAACTCCACTTGTTTCAATGCATAATTGTAAGAGAAACTGGGAGATCTGTGACTGGATCACCCATCTTTTTTTGCATGGGAAATGCTATATGGAGACACAACCTGCCTTAAAGTGATGGCTAGTGTGGGGGTGGGGGCTCTTCTGCCACTCCAACATTTTTCTGACTGAAATCCCCTGAAACTGCTGTTTGCCCAACTTGCGAAAAATGTATGTAAATTTCTGTAGACCACAAACCTTGGCAGTTCAATAATTTGATGAGTGCTTAGAGAAAGGTTATGAAGCTCAGATACTTTTAAAATGTTAGACTGAATAATAAGTTCTTTTCCGACTGGGCAAAAGCATCTAATGCTTTTTGTGCTTTTTTTCCCTTTTTCATGAATGAAGAGAGAATGGCTCAGTTTGTATCTCAGCTCAAACTGCCAGCTGGCATGCTAGCTTCCCAAGCTCATGGCAAACCAGGTCTGCCAGGAAGAGATGGGTTACCTGGGCCACCCGGAGAACCTGGACCTCCAGGTAGGGCATCATAATTCATATATCCATATGTATTTTATTGTTCAAGTTCTCAAACATGTGGGTGGAACTACACATGTAGCTTCCTAATTATTAACTTTTAAATCCATACTAGTGTTTTCTAGACTAGACCTATATATTAACATGTAGTAGTTGTGTGTTTTTGTATATTAAAAACTTCTAATCAGTGCATAATAATCCTAATAACAGATAACATTAGGATACTGATGCACACCTTTCCTAAACCTGCAATAGCGCAAACATAGTACTCAAGCTCAGCACAGTTCTAGCATAATTTACCATCTGTTATCTGAGCTGTAGGGTCTGCAATACGGGAGCTCCTCTGAACAGTTCAGAAAAGTATGCACATTGCTGTGTAGGAAAAAATAATTCAATTTAAAGGTTCCAGTGCATTACCCTTGCTGTGAATCCAATTATAATTGTATTTGCATTATAGCCAGTCTACATTCATTCACAGAAGGCAGTACACTGATTAACTGCAAGCATGTATGAGTTATTTATTTATTTATTTATTTATTTATTTACTCACTTAGCATTATGCCCATGGATCAGACTTCCTCAGTATTTTACTGGATGTATCTTTGGCAGAGATCATGTGGTCATTTCAGATGTACAGGCAAAGCAATTAAAGCACACACTGTAAAGATATTATTGGGGTAGAAAATAATGAACCATACATGAATATAGGTAGTTCTTAATTATTATCTTTTGTTAGTTTGGTCTGCTCTGGAGTCAGAGCAAGTCAGACTGGAATGAAGAGCGTGAAAGCAAAGCTGAAGAAGTGTGGAACACAAAGCTGTGAGGAGAAGAATAAAGGCTGTAGAGGCACATAGGAGCACATCTTTGACTGAGAGGTGGACAGTGGGATGCGCTCAGAATGAGAAGAACAAGAATAAAGGAATCCAGGACAGCGTTAAAAGGGAGTGCGGGGGTGGGGTTTGTTTGGGTTTTGTTTTTTTTAACACAAACGGCCTGCTCTTCATCTGAATATGCAGATTATTGTAATGGTCAACTTGAATGTGTCTGCCAGATTTTTTGAAATGAGGATGGATGCAGCAAATAGTTTATGATGCATGTGAGAAACAGGAAGTCCAAGCTATAATGTGAATGATTTCCCAGCAGGTGTTTGCCAAAGAGAAGACTGAGAATTATGCCTCTTGGGGAAGGGCAGAAAATGAAAAATGCTGCTTTAACAGTATCCTAGTTGTAAGGAGATCCTAAAGTGTTGCATAGTTGAAATTAACATTACATGTCATCCACTACCCCAAGATCACCCGAGTTTGTGTCCAAATAAAATGTATATTTTGAATATAGTACATAATAATGTACTTTGAGAGGATCTCTTTTCAGGAAGACAACACAAAAACTGTATGGAAGATCCACTGAATCCAGGGGGACTCATGTTCCCATAGCATGCCCAGTATCAGACTCTGAGGCACAATTCTCAGAAAAATATACCAGCAATCAGCCTGTCTGCCTTTCAATCAAGGCTGGGCAACTTGTGTCCTTGCAGATGTTTTGACCTACAACTCCTGTTATCCCTAGCCAGCATAGACAATGGTGAAGGATCATGGGAATTGTTGGCCCAAATATCTGGAAGACCATAAGTTGCACACTTCTCCCTGTAATGCATAAGGCTGTTAGTTGCTTGTGTTTTTTGGTCTCCCATAATTTTTGCAATCATTCCTCTACTTTAGGGGATTATGAGCTTTCCATTTGCTTGTTGTAACTATTTGTGCAGTCTGTAGATTCATAAAAATTTGACCTATCAGTTCAAAAATGGCAAGGAGTCTGGTGGCACCTTGACGATTAAAGTAGTGAGAGCTTTTGTGGGGCAGAGCCTACTCTGTCAGGATGCTTCATGTATTCGACAGAGTAACATCTGACTCATAAAAGCTTTGTTTTTTGTTTGATACCCTCTGAAATCAGATTGGCATAATGCTTAAGCTAGAACTGTGATTCACATCTGTATTTAAGAAACAAATGAGCGATTAGCAGAGCAGTACTCATACCTACCCATGGAAGAGACTGCATGATAACTCTCCTTGCCATCTTGATTTGCTTCATTATTCCACTGCAAGTAGTAACATGAAACATATATGAAGCCTATTAAATAGGCAAAGTGATCTCATAGATTTCTGTTTCCTTTCAGAGATATAGAAACAGAATTTGATTTCAAAGATTTTTGGTAGTAGGATAGGTGCTCATGGTAACTCTACCAATGAAATCAAAATGCATGTAATGTTGGATCAACTATGCTTCATGCCTTTTCATATATATGCTTACTATTCTAGAAAGTTGATTGATCTCATAAAGGTGATCCACATGCAAAACTGGACCTCTGCAGGTGGAGCACCTTTGGATTCTGGTGCTACAGGTGTAAAAGAATGCTGTGTAAGAAGAAATACCTGGTGTGAGCATTTCATAACCTGATCTCATGTATGGGTGACTGCACAGACAGAACCGATTGTAATACCGTTGTTCCCTGTCTCTCTCGTTTGCTCTCCTGCTTTCTCACTTTCAAACACACACACACACAAGTCTCTTTCCCCCAAAACGGTCAGCACTGTCTGCAGTACTTCTGATGCCAGGCATCTGAAGCAGGGGAGATTTTATTACACCAATAAGTATGTTAAGCTCCTTTCTCTGTATGAGTATCTCCAGATCAGGACCAATATTTAGTGGGGCATCTTGTCTAATGAAAACCCTCTTTGCCTTCCTACTTTGTTAAATACCCATTTAAACACTCAGTGAAGTGCCTTAAATAGATTCAGGCCTTATTCTGAGTGTATACCCGCCGCAGTTGCAAATGAAAAAATAAGAGAGTGCCTTTGGTCATGTACAGAGTGCCATCTCACCATTAAGTGCCATTAAGCAACCAAAAGCCGTTCCTCCATATCTGAGATCAATCATTTGGTCAACAATTCTCATCATCCCCAGCCAGCATGGCCACTAGCCATATTAGGGCAAGGATGGGCATCACTAGGAATTCAGTTTTTCTTAACCTCAATGGAACTCCACAGCATTTGCATTCTGGCAAGCTGCAGCAGTAGACTGCACCAGATTATTTTTTTCTTTGAACCTGCGAGCAATTGCCACATTTGTAACAATTTGCTCTTTAAGTTTACACAAACTGTACTTTTTCCGGATGATGGTGTCTTTTGCAAGTGTGCATCTGCACATGTACAGGGGTCTGAAATAGCTTTGCTTCATCAATGCCCTAGGAAGCATCTCCTGTCAAAGTTCAGGAGCACTCACCAAAGGACATTGCTAAAACATGGCTACAAACAGACCAGGTCATTGCTTTGCTTCTCCTGACTGCTGTCAAAAGATGAATTATCAAGTGGAAACAGCTGTGAAAGAGCACGGCATATATACCACTCCTTTTGCAGCAAGATCCTCCAGTTTCTGTATGTAGACCCAACAGTCTTCTGTGTCCTGAACCTTTTCAATAATTACCCTAGCCTCTAGGTGCTTGGAAAGTGGAACAGTATAAGCCCACCCAATTCTCAGAGGGCATTTTGACAGCTGTCAAAGTCTTTCTAACACAACACTTTTGACAAGGCTAAGCAGAGGGATTTGATCAGGACATATGCATATAAAAGTGTCTATGTCACTATCAAACACCTCTGCTCAGTACTGTCAAAAACCCTGTTTTAAGAGGAAGACTTTCCTATGATGGCAGTTAATTGTGAAATACTTTCCCTGTCAATGAGATGGGCTTGTGCTTTTCCACCTAGAGGTTTGGAAAACTGTGGAAAAGGTGCAAGGCACTTTATATCATCCACATATAAAAACTGGAAGATCTTGCCACAAAGGGGATGATGTATGTACCATCCCTTTTTATGGGCAAAAATCCATTTATGGTTTTGCTTTCACTTGACTGCTGCTGTCAGGGGAAAGCAAAGCAACAAACCAACAGATCTGTAGCCTTGTTTTATCCGTGTTCCTGGATGGTGGCACCTGACTTTGGCAGGAGAAATTTCCCAGGATAGTGACAAGACAAGGCTTTTCATTTATAACTCCTACAAGTTTACACAATTATAGTTTGCACATATTTCAAGAGCTGTTTTTTACATGTGAAAATTGCTGCCATAATTCAGCAAGAAAAACACCGAAATCTGTTGTACTGGCTTGACTAGGTACAGATTGGGTTGGCCCCAGTGGAGGGGAAACAAAATGAGGGGCCAAAATGGAAAAATCAGTCTGATTTTCAACCTGCAAATAAAATTCCCACATATTTCCCTACTAAGTTGGTGAAGCGTGCAGCCGTGGTCAGGAAAGAAGGAAATACTTGTATATAAAATTCAGCCTTGTGCCTGTTATATTAGAATTTAAGCAAGAACAACATTAAAGCAGTACAAAGTAAGAAACTGATGGCTACTCACCTTGAAAATACAAGACATTGTGGGAAGGAGCTATTTTTCATTGCTGTGTATGAAAGGTACAAAAGGGGGAAATGCTTAGGGTGGTTTAGTTCTGTGCAGTACAAATAATGCTTATTTGCAAATAGTTTAGGAGTAAAAATGTGGACTAGATACACTAAGTCAACATGTATTTTGGGATACATTTGCTTTTGCCATCCTCCTAACATATGTTTGTCACCCTCTATTTTCCTGAACAGGTAGAAATTTTAGGGGCAATGTTTACAGGATAATTATTTTGCAAGATGTGTTTGTTTATGAATATACAAGTTGAACGGGGTGGGGGGGCATGGGGAGCTGCTCTCCACACAGTAGGTACAGTAATTTCCTAATGCTCATTTACACCCTCCCCCAACTGCTTCCTGTTTACTAGCTCCAATACTCAGGTTTCTTTTTTGTTTCCTCACCCCATAAAGTAGCTACTAGCTATTAAAAGCTGCTAAGCAATCAATTTCGGCTACTAAAGGTTAACTTGCATATCCAGAAAATATAGTCACATTCTAGTTATACTTGATACGTTTTAATGCTTGGAATGATGCTACCTTTTAAAAATGTGACTCCCAAATGCTGAACCAGGGTGCATTAATGGCTTCCTACACTGTGGCAGCCTCCATGTTTAAAGCTGCTTCAGTGTGTGCATTCATTGTTCCTTATGTGTGTTTCTGAACAAGGATGAGAAAATTTACAGAAATTTTTATTTGCATAGGTAAAAGGAGGATACTGGGTATGTGCTTTTTGCTTAAATTACAACACGCCTTCATTTGTTTACGCAGCAGGAAGCTTTGTATGTCATTTAACACTTCATCAGTATGGAACTTTTTTTACTCACTGCTGTTTGAGTGGCTGGCTTTTTAAATGAGCTGCCTTCACAAAAGAATAAATAGGTATGCCTCAAAGATGGCTGTGAACATTTTTGTCCGGTGAAGGGGCCTTGAACTTGAAAGAGTTCTGGACACGTGAGTTGTTCAGCAGAATGGTACGTGCGTGTAAATGTGCCTTTGCTGCCTGAACTGGGTTCCCATTTAGGCTGGATGTCCTGCACCAATTGAGCATCTTTAATTCAAAGAAAGAACTCCCTTTCAAATCTCCATAGCTCTTTCACCACATGGTAGGGTAAGAGAGATGTGTTCCCGGGAATGAGGAAATGCACTATGCAGGCAGCTTGCTCAGTATTAAGAAGCACTTAGCGAGTATTATCTATAATGTGCCAAATTTGGAGGTTGAATTGGCAAGGAAGAAGAAAGGTGCCTGCCTCTGTGTTAGCTGAAGATGGGCGGGGGAGAGAGGAGTGATCCGAGGCCCAGGGACAGAGGGCCTCTTCACAGGCCTTTGAATTCAGCACTGTGCTTTATATACTCATGAGCCTTCC